CAAATTGGAGGGGTCTCTACTTTTTACTACCTAATAATTGTCCATTTCCTTTTTTCCTTTTATGACAAATTACCCTACACAGATATTATTAAAGTAAACTTCACCTATCATAAATAATACAACTTAGTCAAATGATTAGCCGATATTATTAAAACCAACTGCTAAACCTTTCCTTTCCTTTCCTTTCCTTTCCATTATATAATATGCAAATATTGAGTGAAAGAGTTTAGCTTGGAATCACCTTTGGTGGAAGGAGCAGGGCTGCAAGAGTCGGAAGGAAACAGCGAGGACAGTTGAACAGTGTAGAAATGCTGCTGCTGCTGAACTGCACCGCCATTAGCAGTCTTCAAAGAAAGCAGAAGAGAGAAGGCGAGAGCTGTAGCAATGAAGGCAAAGGAGGAGGAGGAAAAGGCAGCAGTGGTAGTGGTAGCCATTGTTTCTTTAGAACCAGGAGGATGAGGAAAATGGGAAATGTGGTCTCTGCCTGTTATTTTGGTCCCCTTTTTATAGCCCACAAATATCACTCTAACTGTCTAAGGTCTCTAATGCGCTTCGGTTTTTAATCAGTCACCAAATTACATTGTTTCACCCTCCTATCAGAGCCAAGCTCTGAAATCAAAGCTAGTATATAAATAAGGGTAGTACATGAACAAAAAAGGCCTAGTGCACGACATCATATACGTCTGCGTTCACATTTTAAAATGTACTCCAGTATAATTGGACAAATCGGAATGGTCATGTACCAAACTCTGATGATTTTATGGTCTGTTACCAAAACTCGTTGGTCGGCGCGAACAAGAAGATCTGTGTACACCAGGTGCATGCTAGCCTAATATACATAATAATAGCTTTCTAGATTGCCTGTTATTCTAGAAGTTCTAGAAGTATACCGACCATCATTCATTTTTACCATCTAAAATATCGAGAGCCAATTATTTCCCACAATGAAAATGAGAGAATAATAATAGGGTAAATTGCGAAGTTGGTCACTGAGATTACTAAAAAGGTTCACGTTTGTCATTAAAAATATTTAATTTCATTCGTGGTCACTAAAATTAGTTAAATGTTCCAAGTTTAGTCACTCTCCATCCAACTCCGTTAACTTTTGGTGATGTGGCAGTCAACTTTCATAATTGACCGTTAAAAATATGATGTGGCAATTAAAAAATATTAAAAAATAAATTTTAATTTTTTAAAATTTACACATCATTCTACAACAATTTATAAATAAAATTACAAAATACCCATTTCCCAGATCGTATCTTCTTTACCGCTCGACCTTTCCTTCTCTTGCCTCCCTCCGGCCTTCACCCTCCAATACTCCGACCACCACAGCCAAAGAACCCTGCGCCCAGACTTCCCCTCGCAACGCCACAATATGCGACGCGATCACTCATTCTCTTAAACTCTTCTACTCTTGATTTGTCTTGCTTTAGCTTTCTTCTCCATGGGACTCCACGAATCGAAACCGCCATGCGAGAGACAGGTCGGATCCACACTTGGTTTTCCTTGCTTATGCTTTCTTTTCCATGGAATCGACATAAGAAGCAGGCTATAAAGGGTTAACGGAGAAGACGAATCTGGAAGAGGAAGCTACTTGATGGACATGAGCCTGCTCCGTCATCGATTAATCTTCCTGTCGGACCAGTTTGCTTCCTCACCTCCAAAATGGGAGATTCGGATCGAATGTATCTCCCTTTTGATTTCAACCCTTAAATCAAATGCTTTATTTCTACCCCTCCCTCTTTGGTTCCCCCTGTCTCTTCGCATACCCTAACTATAAATTTTGACCAAATTCAGGGAATCTATTTCAACAACTCCCTCTAATCCCCAGCTTGTATCTCGATTCAGCTCAAAATAGTTACCGATTTTGATCGGTGGCTTTCAGGTTGCACCTGGTGGATGTACGATTGGGTGATGTATATACGGTTGCCGGCGATGGTGAAGAAAGGTAGAGTGGTAAAATGTTCGCCGTAAGGAAACAGAAGCAATGCTAGCGGGCGGGAGAAGAAGGGGATGAGCGCATCGCTGATGGCGGCAGTGTCAAGGATTGGGGGCCGGAGGCCGGAGGGAGGCCAACGAAGGGAAAATTCGATCGGGTTTGGGTCAAGGGTCTTCTTTAAGTTTATTTTTTAATTTTTGCAAAAAAAAATTTGAAACATAATTGTTGTAAAATGATGTGGAAATTTTAATAAATTAAATTTTATTTTTTTAATATTTTTTAATTGCCACATCACACATTTAACGGTCAATTATGAGAGTTGACTGCCACATCATCAAGAATTAACGGAATTGGACGAAGAGTGACTAAACTTGGAACGTTTAACTAATTTTAATGACCACGAATGAAATTAAATATTTTTAGTGACCAAATGTGAACCTTTTTAGTAATCTCAGTGACCAACTTTGCAATTTACCCAATAATAATATGTAACATGCAATTTACCCAATAATAATATGTAACATGTAGTGCCTGTGATACGATGGGGAAATGCACGTTGGTTGGGCGTTTGTACAGAACAGAACCCCTTAACCAGAAAACAAAAACTATTTGGATTCTTGTTTTCCAAGGACGCATATTTAGATCGGGTCCACAAGGAAGTCGTTATTTGTCCAATTGTACATGAAATATATGGATTATCATGTTAGTTAGTTTGGGTGCAAGCTTTGCTAATTGATGCATCATTATCACCTACTATTTATAACTAAGCCATATTTGCTCTCCCAGCAGTAGCACTAGGGGTGGCCAAACGGTTAGCGGTTAACCGATCGGTTACAATCATAACCAGACGGTTATTCATTGACCGAAAATCGAAATAACCGAAAATCGATTGGTATTTATAGGGATGGATGAGATGCTTTTGGTCTTGTGGGCAGCTCAGTTAACCGAAAATCGAGATAACTTAAGCCTTAATCCCTCTTTCGGTTGGTGGTTCGATTAACCAATGACCGACCCTTCGGTTTTCGGTTATAACCAAACCGATCGACCCTCCTCCCCTAAGTAGCACGTTTAAAAGTCTTACCAACCCACAAGCCATAGAGGCATAGTATGTGATTTCCGCCGGTCAAACAAACACCTATAATCCGGTCCACGAGGAAGTCGTTATTTGTCCAATTGTACATGAAATACCGAATACGGATTATCAGGTAGGTTAGTTTGAGTGCAAGCTTTGCTAATTGTGCATAATTATCGGGGTGGGAATCGGTCGGTAAACGGTAAACCGTTTACCGAATTTATCGGTTTCGGTATACCGACGGTGGCCAAACTGTTTACCGTTTACCGATACCGGTTTGTAACCGGTTTACCGATTACCGAATTACCGGTAAACGGTTACAAACCGGTTTACCGAATTACCGCAAAGGACGACGTGGGGCAGTTTTTCGGTTCGGTTTACCGAACCGAAATTATGTTAAGTGGGGAAGATGTTGTAATATTTTTATTTTTCTGAGTTTTTTTCTTCATTTTTGTAATTAATAAATTATAACATTTTTTAGACCTATACTTATGTATCATTTGTAACATTTGTAACTCTTATTTATAATATTTTTGTTCATGATGTATGTAATATTTGTGAATAATGAAATATATGTTATATTGTTATATGTTAATGCCATAACTTAATATTTGAGTTCAAACACTAAGTTGCTATCTATTAATCTATTTAATTTAACATAAGTTCAAAGGGTCAACAATCATGATTCATGAATCAACATCAACTCTCATCATCAAGCATCATCATTCATCAAATATTCAAATTCATCAAACGACAATTCAACAAACATCGTCAAATTCAAAGGGACAATGATAATGTCTAAATTCAACACAAGTTCAAAGTCCAAACTTAAAAATTAAAATAGACAACCAAATAAGTTAATAACCAAGAGCTCATGCTCCTCCTTCTCCGGTAGAACTTGTAGTACCACCAACATTTGCACAACCTTTCTTCTTCAAAATCCTGAGAAGAGTATCATCGGGATCATCATCGGCATCTTGGTTCATGTCTTCGTCGGACTCGGTGGATTCTTCATCATCACCCTCCTCCTCCTCCTCCTCCTCTTCCTCATCAACCCCAACAACAGATCCATGTGCTCCACTTGGGATGTCACTTGCAGTGTCCACTCGAGATTGGAAAGTATTAGTAACTAGTGCAAATAAAATACACAAATGTTAGTATGTTACTAATGAAATGATTTAAAATTTAAATAGTAAAGAATATAGACAAATTAGAATAATAAATTGAATTCTTACCACTATCATAATCGATTGTCTCTTGATCTTCTTCCTTATCATTCAGTTCATCTGCAGTCTTTCCATTTTCATATCTTATCCAATCTTCAGCACATATCAATGCCTCCACAATGTTTGGGCTTAAAGAGGACCTGAAAGGACTAAGAACTCGACCTCCACAACTGAAAGCGGACTCCGATGCAACAGAGGAGACTGGAACTGCTAATATATCCCTAACCATCTATGAAAGAATGAGATATCTAACACTGTTCCGAGCCCACCACTTCAGAATGTCAAACTTCCGATCATCAATCTCCTCATTAACAGCATCACCAATATCTCTCAAATACTGCTCCAACTCACCAGAACCTCGACCCCCCCTCTCAATTTGCTCCTTTCTCTTCTGCTGGAACCGAGCTTCAAATGCGGACTCCATATCATTCGATCCGTCACTAGTCTCAGTAGGAGTAGTAGTCTGGGTAGTAGGCACAGAAACAGAGGATGAAGTTGCATACTTCATCTTGTAGACATCGTACAATGCAATCATCTCCTTCTTTACTTCATCTGCCAAAGATTCCCCTTTTGAGATCCCATACATTTCCTCCAACATCATAGTCAAATAGTCTAGCTTACGCCTGGGATCCAGCACACATGCCATGTAAACTATCATATTTATCCTAAAGTTGTCCTTCTCGTCAGCAACATCATTCTCAAACCAATACTTTCTCACCTTTGCCTCTATTCTCGATGCCATTCTTTGTATCTGTCTATCTGCATCTTTCTTCAATTTTGCTATCACTTCATGAATATCCACAATGGATTTGCAGAAAGTATGTGCAGTGACATATGATGTTCCTGATACAAAGAAAAATTTACCGACATTAGTATAAATAATATAACTCATAACTCATAATCATTCAATTTAATTTTAAAATTTGAAAGTTATTAGTTCATATACCTGATACACGAAGAGTAAGCTCATAGAAGAACTTCAGGTACTTCATGAGCCGCCTAATACTGCTCCAATCATCTTCAGTTGGAAGACCCTTCTTTGAATCCACATACTCTCGAAAGGAAGAATCAGTAGGACTAGCATACATGAACGTAAAAACCTGCTCAAACCTCTCCGCGGAATCCAACATTAGATAGGTGGAATTCCACCTAGTCGGAACATCCAAAGACAACAGCCTTTTCCCATCCATCTCTAGATACTCAATGCCTTTCTTGAACTTTCCCATCCGAGCTGGGGATGACTTCACCCATTTCACACAATCCCTTACCCTCTCCACAGCAACTCCAACCTCCTTCAATCCATCAGAAACAACTAGATGATGATATGTGCCACACATCTATACTGCAAATACTTCCCATCTAGCAAATCTGTTCCCCACCCCTTCATTCTCATGCACTCAACAAGAACATCATTCGAACTGGCATTATCCATTGTCATGCAAAACAAACTATTCACTTTCCATTCTTGTAAACACTTCTCCAAAGTATCTGCAATAGAGAAATTTTACAATGCTATATAGTATTGGTGCTATAGGGTTTTGCCTTTATGGTACAACTTAAAATTGTACATTTACGTTATGGTACAACTTCATATTGTACCTATACTTTTTGTACAAATTCTTTTATGGTACAAGTTGAACTTGTACCTTTATGTGATGGTACAACTTCAAGTTGTAAAGTTGTACCATAACATAATGATACAAATTGCTTTATGGTACAACCTAAACTTATACATTTAATGTTATGGTACAACTTTAAGTTGTACATTAAAGCACCAATACTATATAGTATAGTAGAAGTTCTCATCTGCAATATCCTTCCCCGTGTGACTAGTAATGGGAACAAAGCAAATAATCCTCTTCTGCAACTTCCAATCATGTCCAATAAAATGTGCAGTCACACACATAAAATTCTGGTTATTATCACTAGTCCATGTATCTGTAGTGATAGATATTCTTCCTTTGCACTTTGAGTTAAAAAAACTCAATCAATATTTCTTTCTTCTCCATAAAAATGACATAACAATAAGATCTTATTGTTTGCCTTCCAGGTATCACAAACAAAGGCTGAGTTGTTGCCATAAATCTCCTAAACCCCTCCCGCTCAACAAATCTAAACGAAAGCTCATCCAAGATTATCATCATAGCTAATGCATGTCTAGATTTGTTCTGATCAAACTTCCATGGAGTAAGAGAGCCTACCTCACCGACTCCACTTTCTGTTCCAGGTTGATAGTTCAATACAGACTGACCACTAGCTTCCTTTGCCTTCCTCTCGCACATTAGGTGATGGCTCTTCAAACCACTAGCCCCATTGAAGGTTGAATGAGCTTTGATCAGCGCCCCACACCTTTTGCATTTGCCGTATGGGTAGTCATCAACCAACACACGGGTGTAAGGAATCCACCACTTAGATTTTGACTTCTTCCCCTTCCCCTTCCCCTTGTCAATTTTCTTCTGTACACCAGGTACCTCAACAGATGGAGGAGGATTTGCTGTTGATGGAGGAGGATTTGCCTCAGGAGGTGGATTTGCTGCTGCTGCAGGTGGAGGAGGATTTGCAGTAGTGGAAGAAGGTTTGCTAGTCGAAGCCTTCCCTTTTTTTGAAGAGCTTCGAGGAGGTAACGAACTAGCTTTCTTCTTACTACCTCCTCCATGGCTGCCAGCAGAAGGTTTCGTCCTACAAAAAAAAAAAAAACAATCTCAATTCACTTCCAACCTGTACTCAGAATGCATAGCCACCAAAAGTAGAAAGACCAAAAAATGAACATACAGAAACAGTGGCTCCGATGAAGACACAGCAGAACAGAAGGGAAGGATCGATCAAGTAAAAACAGGATTCCATTAATAACCAGCAACACCATTCTAAACGTCTCAACGGGAAAAGAAAATAGTGCAGCAAAATTTCAACGGTAGACACCAAATCAGATAGTATCATCCACAAACCAAAACTGTGTTAGATTTGCTCTTCAAATTACCTGCTACATAACTCTCATTGGGTTGAAATGAATTGAGCTAATACATTACAACCAAAGTAAGTTAGAGTTGTGACGCTCGATCACCCAAATCCTTACAAGTTCACTACAGGTAAAATTCCTTTCCACTTGGTTCTTCTTAGCTATCATAGGAACTCAACTCATATAAAACAAAGAGTTACTAAATCATCAACGTTGCTAGCTAGCTTAGCAGGTACTCAAGATGTTGACAAAGGAGGTTTCACTCACTCCCCTCTGATTTCAAACCCGTAAAACTGAGCTGCGTGCATCAAAGTTGCAAAATTCTTGTTACACAAAACACAATCTCAAATTCAATTACATACATTTGGTTTTGGACTTGATTTTGTTGGCTGTTGTTGACTTGCTGTCTGCTGAGTTGCTGGTATCGCTCTTCACCCTCTTCCCCTTCTTTGAAGCTGCGTCGGCCGTCTGCGAGGGAGAGTCAGGGCAGGTGGCGAGGGAAGGCCGGAAGGGAACTAGGGCAGGTGGCGGAGGATTTGCTGGAGGAGGAATGGCAGATGAAGCTCGCTCTTCACCCTCTTCCCCTTCTTTGAAGCTGCGTCGGCGAGGGAGAGTCAGGGCCTCATTCTTTGCCGTCGACGAGAAGCGGAGAGGAGAAGGAGAGGCGGCGGGCGAAGGAGAGGCGGCGGGAGAAGCGGACTGGAGAATGAGAGGTGGCGGCGTCTTCTGCTCTGCGTCGGCGACTCTGCGTGCGAAGGGGAAGGGACGAAGGTTGAAGCTCGAAGGGTGAAGGTCGTTTTCGCGTTTTGGGCAGGGGCGCAGGTAGGGTTTCATTCACTTGCCCAAAATGCCGCGTTCCGCCATTCCCCATTTGGTATTTACCGATTTACCGACGGTAAATACCGACCCTGTGTCCGGTAAATTGGATCGTCGCCGTCGCAATCGGATACCGATGGTAATCGGTTTACCGTTTACCGACCGTTACCGGTTCGGTAAAACGGTAAACCGGTTACCGTATTACCGTTTGTCAGCCCTAATTATCACTACTATTTATATCTAAGCCATATTTGCTCGATCTCCTAGCAGTTACAAGTTTAAATCCTTCTGTGACAATTAGTGAGTGGTATAAGATCCATTAATATTGAACCTCTTCCATTAACTCGAGTTATTGGGACCAACTGGTTCTTGACATGATATTAGAGCCTTCTGTGATCGAGATGTCTTGTGATGCTAAAATTTGACTGGGAGAGTGAAGGAAATGAAGACAATAAATATTCTAGTTGAGTCAATTGATAGGGAGAGTGAAGGAAATGAAGACGAAATCTTTTTTGATGCTAAAATTTGAATAAATTGTAGTCTAAATTGATTGAATTATGAGACTAATTGTTATGTATATTCTTCTTCCCTATTAATTATTGTTATTATTATGGTTGGGATGAGATTTTTTTTTTACAAAAGATAATCATATATTGATTGAATGATAGGTAATTACATCTTAGAATACAGCCATGCCTGGAAATCAAAGAAACGACTCGTAGTCGGGTACAAAGAAAGGGCCTTGCGAGCTACTAGATGAGCTACTCTATTATTCCTCCGACCTACAAATCGAACACTAAACCCTGTATGTGCCACAAACAAATTTCTGACCTCTAATAGAATGGGTCCCACCCGGCTATCTCTGGTCTTAGACCTACGGAGTTTCTCAACAACCAGCTGGGCATCACCTTCAAATCGCACCTCAGAAAAACCTTGCCCTAAGTACCACAAGATCGCCTCCCGAAGAGTTAGCAGCTCCACTACTAGTGGGTCATCAATCCCCGGAAACTGGACCCCTTGAACAAGGAGTATCTCACGGGCTGGAGTCAAGAAGACCATCCCCCCTGTCGAATGAGAACCAGCCCTAACCGCCCCATCCCGCATACAAATTGCCAGGGCTGGATACACAGCATCCACCAGACTAAGAGTAGTAGGAGGTCGAGGGGCATGGTCCTTAGGGAGTCTAGCCTACTCTTGCACCTATTGATTGAACTGTCGCATCAAGGCTACAATCCCAAACTGTTTTCCTTCAAAAACAACCCAGTTATGAGATCGCCAAATTCTCCAAAGGACAGCGATCACCTCCATAAACTGATGTTTCTGGTCAATCAGAGCCAAGATCTTCAAAAAGAGCGGGAAGGTATGCCGAGGCAACCCTTCCTCTAGGTGAGCCAGCCTAGAGTGATCCCAAATGGCACGAGCAACTATGCAGTTAAGGAACATATGCTCCATTGTTTCAGCCTCGCCCCAACAAACGGGCACCTGGGTAGAATAGCAACCTGTTTTTCGATTAACGCCTCCGTAGTAGGCAAAATCATCCGAAAAATCTGCCAAACAAACACCTTCAACTTCGGAGGTATGTCCTGTCTCCCACAACCGGATCCAACTAGCTCGATCCATCCAACTAACCATGGGTTTCCACCTGCCTCGCTGTTGATCTAGAGTGATCGCAAAATGGTACGCCGACTTAACAGTGAACACACCATCAGTTGTAGCATGCCATACCAGACGATCCTCTACATCTTGGCGAGGCAACGAGATCGCCCTTATGGCCTTACATATCATAGGATCAAACCATTGCCGGAGCTTATCATCACACCACCGTCCCTCACCAGGTTGAATTACCTCTTCCACCTTCAGTTCCACCCCTTCCGGAAGCACACAGGGATTATACCTAGGGGGAGCGGGTGCAGGCTAGGGATCCAATTGGACGTTAGGAGGGCGGCTTGCCGATCATTGCCAATTTGCCAACGTAACCCCGTTACCAGCAGCTCCCGACCTCTGCCAACCCCCACGAAGGTCTAGACCGAGCTGTTGCCGAGAGAAAAGACCCATGAGAGAAATATTTCCCTTTATAAACCTGAGCCAGGAGGGAATCAGGCTCGTTTAAAATTCGCCACCCAATTTTAGCTAGGAGAACCTGATTAAAATGTTGGGATGAGATTAGGTTATAGTACGTGAGTAGTTTCTAGGTGTCATTAGGATTGCTTTTGAGGTTGGAATAGGCGGGGGCAAGTCGCAATAGCCAAATATGATTAGGATTAGGATTATAGCCCTATAAATATATACGTACATTGTCTTTGGTTTAATGCTACGTTGAAGATTGAAATCCAACAGTAATTGTAGTTATCTTTGTTCCTATATTATCTTTGTTCTAACTCTTTCTTACGAATATCTTTCAACATCGACGACGGCACACGTTACGTGAAGGTTCTCGCCGAAAAAATACACATAACACTAATCTTAATTATGTCATGTACTAATTCATACTTTCTCCAAAAATTCTTTCCCTCAATTATATCACTTGTTCATTCGAATCATCGAAACAAATACTTACGAACTAACCCTTTATTTGAAACAAAATAAACACTCCCACAATTTCATCTGGTTTGTTTGAGATAAATGGCACGAGGCGGCTTGATTGATGGAGCTGGACTACTGCCTTTTCCTTTTCTTTTGTTTCTTTCATTCGTTCTCTCTCTTTCCGCCGGGAACTGTGGCCGGCCGGTGGTGGGGGATAGTACTAGTCGGCAGTGCTGTGTAGGCCACAGTTGGTATTTGAGTGAGTGGTGGAAGTAAAGCTGAAATCTGCAACACAAATATCTTCGATGGCAGGGAACAAATCCAACACAACCACCTAGCTTTTGTTGCATAATTACCACATTACTAACGTCAATATCCTTTTGGCTTAATTCACAATGAGCATGCAGCCGGTTTGGTGTCAGCGTGATGATGGTAGCTAGGCTTCATGGGCTAATTTCATTGAATTGTGAGGATTGTTATGGATACTGGATCAGACTCGAATGAATTCATATGAATTGTTTATGATTTTGCGTTTGGATTGAGTTTAGATTGGGTATAATTATAAGTCAAGTCATTTGGGTCGGATCAGATCTATTCAGAATCAGATGAATTGTACACACCCAAAGGCATATATCGATCAATCTCACTAAGGGGTCGTTTGGATGTGGAAATGTAATGCAGTAATTGGATCCAATTACCACATAATGCAGTAATTGGGTTAAAAACCCACGTTTGGGAGAGCAAAAAGAGTATGGGAATTGGACCATGGAAATTGGCTTCAATTACCACATTCATGGTAATTGAGAATACTACACCTTCCCCTAGTAGTTTGACATTACCACGTTTTCTTACTTCTTTTTCCAAATTCCACACCATCAATTCCCACAAAACTAACCCTATCCAAACATGAATTTTATTCAATTTCCACAAATCAATTCCTTGCTTTTGTAAAACATGGAAATTCAAACAAATTCCATCGTTTTCAAATTTCCACATCCAAACGACCCCTAAGTGTCTTCAGCCCAATTCACGCATTCAATGTTTGATATTTTCACATTTTGTTTGTTTCGGAACAAAGAAAAATGCAAAGATTCGTATTAAAATAGGGTACCCGTTTTGCTTTTGGGTACAATTTTGATCCAAACTAAAAAGTTGGGTGTGAGTGTGACAAAAAATGGCATTACATAAACCTAATTTGACCCCTAATAGATTGAATTTGGACAATACTCAACATAATAACTTTCTTCTGGTTGGGAATTACCGAACATGAAAAGATCTTCTCAATCCTACTTTTTCTTATCACAATTTTTTTCCATGCTTATCAGGCCAACTATTTATGTGAGAATTTAAAGGTTTAAACAACCAATTGAATTATGTCGGAGTCACTTATAGACCCATAGTAAAATTCGTAACGAATATGAAAATTATTATGATTGTCAAGTCAAGCCTTTGCTTTTCCTACTCGACTATCATAGATTTACTTCAACAATTTCAATCCCGTCATTCAAATATGTTGAGAAACGGGGCAGCAACCACAAGCAAGAATCGAATGCACAAGACACAATTTTTACGTGGAAAACCCAAATCGGGAAAAACAACGGAACCTTTGTCCAAACCACAACTCCACTAGACTTTGCTGGGATTACAAGTCCTCTCTAGACTAGCTAGAGGATTACAAACACCTCAAGAACATCCTTCTTGGATCAACAATCAACCACAATAGCTCTCACCAACATGGTGGATAACTAGAACAAAAGCAAGACAAAGAGAGGTTTAGAGGTACCCAAAAACATATTCGTACACCTTCTGTCCATCAACGATTCCCGACGATAGACCTCAGAATGACGATCCCTCCGTTCAGAACGAAGCTCAGACAATTCCGAACCAACTGTCCAAATTTCAGGACGATCCAACGGTTCGATTGTTCAGAATTCTCACTTGAACAAGCTGTCCTTCTGCAGAAACGAAAAACTGAAGTTCTTTGTTTCTCTCTTTTCTCTTTTCCTTGTCTCTTCTCTTTTCTGATTCTCTATCTGGAAAATTGAAAGGTTGTATCCTCTTTTTCCTTTTTCCAGACAATAACTCTCTAATTTTAATAATAGAGGATCTTCTAAAAACCAACCAAAACTCAAACTCAAACCGGTTAGTCCAACAACCATAGGAGTTGAACCAAACCCAACAAAATATCCGAATCAACATGAACATATCCCCATTACAATCTACACTTGATAAATGAGTCTAGTTGTATTCGTGAATCTAAAGCCTGGTTGAATCTAAATTGAATCAAACCAACAAATGAAAATGTAGGCCAATATGGAAAATGTCAAAGTCATTTGTCTTTGCCCTCTCAATCAACCAACCCACGTGGATCGCTGTCCCTTACAGTAGTATGCTGCTCCTGCAATTTCACTTTCCTATACCACAAGACAAATCGAAATCAATCCTTGACATTCGAGGCTGTAACTAACTACCAAACTTTTACCAGTCAGTTTCCTGGTAAAAAAAGGTAATGGTTCCCCGCCGCCACCGCCGTAGTTTATTACTTTAGGCGGTTCCCATTGATGGGTTGGGTTCACATTTCCCAGCTAGCCTTCGTGTTTCCTTCATCAATCAAATACTAAGAAAAAAATGAAATTGGAAACCCTATCTAAGTTAGGAGCAGGAGTTTCCACAGTGAAATCGGTGCTGTAGTTGTCAATGAAGTTGCTGTTCAGTGTTAGTCTTCTGTTTCATCAATGTCATCTATCGGTATTTCTTCAGTATTATCAATGCAAGGACCTATTGCACGTGAGCCAATAGAATGGTCAGTATTGGTCATTGATAAATGTTCAACGAAAAGGGATGGCAAAAAGGATTACGATCCATGAACGTGAAAACAGCAGGGGCAAGGCAAGTCATGTTTACCTCTCTGGATCGATGGACTAGGATGATGATAAGCAGCTGCTGCTGTTATTGCAGTTCCTTGGTCTAGCAGATATGGAAGCTCCAAAAGCTGCAAGAAGGACTCCGTCTGAGGGTTCCTAAGACATTCTGCAATCCATCAAAGATAAACTTTCTATAAGGACCAAACTAACATGCTGCACATGGAGTTGATAATGCTTTAGACGCTTCAAGAAACAAGTATATGTAGATCTACTGATGCTGGAAATAATAACCAATCCAAATTTCTGATGTTTATGTGCTAGATAACATGAGCATAACTAAGAATAAATTCTCATCTATTATTACCATCCCCCCTGGAGGAGCCCATTGATCGAGATTGATTGGGATCAAAAGCAGGAGCGGTTTGTGCAAATTCAAAAGGTTTGGCTCCTCTAGCTTCTAGCTTGCTCCGGACAAATTCACGACAATCTTGGATATCTGGGGTTGTATCCCTATAAACTCACCAGGACAAGCTTTAGTATCTAGAAAAGATGTGGGAAAACTTTATAGGAACATGAAGATGGAAGTGGATGTGGAGGGTGCAAAGTTAAATGATAATAATAGACCTGCCTGAAGTTTGCATTTTGTTTTGTCAACGGAAAGATAGAGTTAAACTTCTTGGTTATTGCTAGCCATTCTTCATCGTACTGGATCTCAAAAGGTCCAGAATCAGACTCTATTTCTAGAATCTGCAAAATGAGTTGAATAGTATGGTTGAAAACATGGGCTATGAGAAAGAATCATTCATGGCAAAGTATAATGAATACCTGTAAGAACATTCTCTGTGGTAGACATTTATCGAGTGCAAGAAATTTAGTCTTTTGGCCATCTTTGCCATGATCCACGAGGGCAGCAAATTTGCAGTGCAAGTGAGCTGAGAACCAACACGGGGGTTTTAACTTTTCAAGCAGTTCAGCAGCAGCTCTGTTTCCAAGGGTTCCTGCCTGCATCTGCAATGGTTTATAGACTTATGTAAGGCAATAGTGAATGAAAACAGTAGTGCTATGGTTCTCCACATCTAGCACTTGCACCAGTAACATAAATGAATCACAGAAGAAAGATTTGAGGCATAAGAATTACTTCTTCTTCAAAGTATGGTTTGACCCGAACAAGTTGCTGCCAGTTACCGTAATCAGTGATGCCAAGAGGCCAATCATGTGAAAGGAAGATGTCAATCGGTTCTGTAACTTGCATGAGCTTATGTACGTCGTATTCACGAACATGATACACAGATCTTATCGTGTCTTGGTTATAGGGTGGTCTTTCATCATGCCCTATCCACCCCACAAAAACAAATTCAATCAGATTCTAGTTGCTGACTGCAACAAGGACCAAGAAAATCATCTCACTATGGCAACTTTTAGCTATCTTTTTCTCAACGCGTTGGATCTGATAGACGAGAAAGACCTACCTTGACGATAGTGTCTGGCATTGTAAATCCCAGACAGCCCACCAATACGAATGTTACCAAACTTGACCACTCCAGCACATCCCAAGAAGAATATATTAGGAGCGGCCCATCCTCCATAATATCTGAAGAACAAAGCACAAAACAAAACAAATCAACCAACCAACCAGCTAGACTGGTACCAATCAGCAATTCGAGAGAGTTAAGCAACAATAAGCGGTACTTACAGTTCCCACATATAATTGGAAGCTTCATGATTGCCACCGATGAAAATGGTGGGAATGGGAGCAACCTCCTGGCCGGAGTAGTACTTCCAGAAAGACTTCATTTCCTTGAATTTGTGTGGCACATTCAGGCTTTGCATATCCCTCTCGTTCCTAATTGCCTGGGTGAATACAACCCAAGAAAAAAAATCAAGTCACCAGTCGATGAGATGATGAAAGAAACTGATAAAAAAAAAGAGAACAACATTAACCTGGAAGTCGCCACAGCAGAGGAGAAGGTCGACTTTGATATCCTGCAACTTCTCCAGGTGCTGGATTGTCTGGTAAACTATGTCCAGATCACCATGCATACAACCTTCCACTGCTATCTTCATCTGTCTCCCCCCTCTCAGGAATTCCTTTGAAGGGTAAGTAAAGCAAGTCAATTGAAGGCCACCATTACTATTAATCTAACAACAAATTCCGCCCAAAAGAAAATTCAAGATTCAAGGTTTAGAATAAAGCTGGTATGCAGCCGATACAGTTTTGATTTAGATGACCTAAGTTTGAACCCTATTCCATGTCAGGAGAATCAAACAAGACCACATTGATTCTGCATATGAATTCGAATACACGAATGAGGAAGAGTAAGGGAAGCAACCAGAGCCGTCTCTTAACCGCCGGAACCAAGAACGAATAAGAAGGGAATCCAACCAACAGCGAAGTCTTAAGAACGTGGACATTGGCGCTATACAACCCTCCAATCTAGTGAAGTTAAAAATGGAGGGGGAAACTTACCTAACCAGAGAGAGCGGCTTGCCTTTCGACGGAAGAAGGTGCCCGCGGACAGTTGCTCGAGAGTCTGGCAGCAATCGTCGTCCCGGCTGGGCGGGCGACGGTGAGAGTTAGAATGAGAGAGGCGGACGCGGGCGCGACTGAGGAGCCAGTGACGGTGGTGGTCGGAAGGGTTGAGGAGTCTGTAAGCCCGAGAAAGGAATCAGGAGAGTGATCCTGCGAGGACGATGACGTTAGGGTCAGAGAAGTGCTAATCGTTGTTTCGTTTTTCCAATTTTACCCCCTTTTTTTTTTTTGGTAATGGATGCAGGGCATCTCAGCTTTCATTCAACACCAAGCGGTAGGGGTGGGCATTGGGTGGGTCGGGTGGATTTTGACCATAAAATGCACCCACCCGCGAGTAAATGGATTGATAATTTTTAACCCACCACCCACCCACATTTAGTCTCGGGTTGGGTTGGGCGGATGGTGGATGATGCGGGTGGGTTTGTGGGTTCACCCACATCATAATTTATATAATATAAAGGAGTCAACTTGACATGATAATAGTTGAAGAGAATCATCGAGGGAAACCAGAAGTTGAAATAGGGCGAAAAATGTCGAATTAGTTCTTAAATTGGATAGAAATTCTATTATGAAAGAGTTTTCTACAGATTGAGACGATTATTAGGTGCAAGGAACTAAGGAAAATAATTCCACAAAGGAAAGAGCGTTGATCTAGGCACAAGAATTAGAGGAAAAAGTAAAGGGAGGAAGAGGGGATCTCTATTTGGAAGGTTGGCTTTGAGGTTCAAACTCCAGGAGCAGTTCGAGTTTATATCTAACGTCTCCACTCTCCTCTCTCTAGCGCCAACGACTTTGATTTTTTTGCTGTTGGGTTGAGCGGGTCACCCGCACACTCACCCACAACCCATCCACCACCCGGCGGATGACTCCCAGCGCAACCCGTCACCCACCCACAGACCCACCCACTTAACGAAATTCGGGTCAAATGCGGGTGGGTCGGCCCAAACCCGCGGATGATCCGCCCGCATGCCCAGCCCTACCAAGCGGGGTTCAGAGAGCCCCTGAGCGTCATACAGCAGAAAATGGTACAGGAAAGGAACTGAACAAGAAACATCATGCACGCCCGGAGGCAGGGAATGGCCGTAACTAGCCAAACAGTCAGCACATTTGTTGGCCTCTCGATAAATATGGGAAATGGACACTTCCCAATCTCGGCTCTGAAGCTCCTGGAACCAATCCACAAGGGCAGTGTGGTGATGGGTGTCGCCAGTGCATTTCTCAAGCAGAAGGATTGCGCAGCGCGAATCCAACTCGACGCGAACACGCCGGTAGCCGAGGGTCCATGCCAACTGAAGCCCTTCTACAGCCCCTCTCAACTCGGCCTGGGTGATGGAGCAATATCCCAGGTTACAAGCGAACGCAGCTAAGCAGCGTCCTGTATGATCTCTGAGCAGGCCACCAGCAGCAGCTTGACCTGTATCATGAAGTACGGAACCGTCTGAGTTGAGAGTGACCCACTCTGGAGGTGGCGGTTTCCAAGAGATCTCAGCCTCCGTTCTTGTGGGTTGGATGGACATATGAACGAGTCCATCCTTATCCAGAGCCGTCCTCACGACATTAATCCAGGCTCGGACACGCTGTAGAAAGGCCTCAGTAGTGACAGCTTTGTTGGCGAAGACCCGATCGTTCCTCGTCTTCCAGAGAGACCAGCAAATGAGCCCGAAACTCAGGTCATAGTCCGGGTGATGCAAGTACTTCAGTAGCCAATCCTGTAGGGGTGCTTCAAAAAATCGCTGGTGGTCAGAAAGCTTGATAACCTGCATCCAAATACACCTGGGAAAAGTACAGTCCCGCAACACATGCAGGACTGTTTCTGGGGCAGCATTGCAGTACGTGCAGCTGCGAGTAGTGGAGATGTGTCGTCGATGGCGCTCTTCATTGGTCAGCAGTCTCTCTCTAGCCGCCAGCCACAGGAAATGGGTCGTCCGAGCTGGGCCTCTCCATCGCCAGATTTTCTTCCAGTCTAGCACTTGAGTAGCATTGGCCTGACCGCACGCAATAGCATAGGCCGACTTGATCCGGAATCGCCCATTTGCTTCTGGCCCCCAGTAGGCTGCGTCTTCCCCTCCATCTTCTCTCGGTGGTCGGGTCCCTATAACCTGCACAGCAAACTCCATCGGTAAGACCGAGTGGAGAAGGGCTTCATTCCACTTACCGTCTTCATCGAGGAAGGATGCCACGGGGAGCGAGGGATCAATCTCAGGGGCATCCATCCGAGCATGGTCGAGCAGGGTGACCGCCGGGTCGAGCCACCGGTCCGTCCAGAAGCTCGTACTTCTCCCATCTTTCACGCACATGGCCATGCCTTCAGACATTATTGGCCAAGCTCTCTTTATTCCCCGCCAAAGATTGGAGCACCTGTTCGCCAACTTAGCTGTCGTCACACCCCTGGCTGTTTTGAAATATTTAGCCTGCAACACCTTCACCCAAAGATCATCTGGATTGCTAATAAATAACCAGGCTAATTTCGCAAGAAAGGAGAGATTTAATTCATGAGCTTTTCTCAGGCCCAAACCTCCCTCAGTCTTTGGCTGGCAAACCTGTTCCCAATGAACCAAATGAACCTTCCGTTTGTCTGCAGTAGACCCCCAAATGAAGCGGCGGATCCTCATGTCAATCTGATCACAAATCGACTGGGGGAGGAGAGTCGTCTGCATGGCATAGGTTGGCAAGGTGTTGAGCACTGATGCCGCCAAGGTCACCCGTCCTGCAAAAGACAGGGAGTCCGCCCTCCAACCTGCCAGCTTTTTGTCTAGCCTGTCCAGAATGTACCTATACGTCTCTCTGGTAACTCGTCCGTGCAGCACTGGAACCCCAAGGTACCGCCCCAGGTCCTGCGTCGCCGGGATTCCCAGAGTGCGAATGATATCCCCGGAGGTGGTTCGGTCTGTGTTGCCCGAGAAGAAAATTACCGACTTGTCCTTGCTCACCATTTCTCCCGAGGCCAGACAGAATCTATCCAGGCAATCCAGAATAATGCTACCCTGTTGGACAGTCGCTTCTGCAAACAGAATAAGATCATCAGCGAAAAAGAGGTGCGATAGAGGGGGGCCACCTGGTGATGTCTTGATCGGCTTCCATCTTCCTCCATTTACTGCTTCCTCGATCACATGGCTAAGCCTCTCCATACAAAGAGTGAACAGATAGGGTGATAGGGGGCACCCCTGCCGAAGGCCACGGGATGGGAGGAATGGCTCGGTTTGCACCCCGTTCCATAGAACCTGCATCGAAGCCGTCGTTACACAGTGCATAATAATGGTAATAAGCTCCCTGGGGAAGCCCGCTGCCTCAAGCGTTTCCCGGAGAAACACCCAGCTGAGGCGATCATACGCTTTAGCCAGGTCCACCTTAATCACCATCTGGCCACGTTTGCCTCTCTTGAGACCCATCGAATGGATGACTTCCTGGAGTATGATGATGTTATCTGTGATATGTCGGCCTGGTACGAAACTAGTCTGGGTTTCGTGAACTAGCTGCTTCATCATTGGCTTCACCCGATTGGCCAAACACTTCGCGAGAGTCTTGTAGACTACATTGCAGAGTCCAATCGGCCTGAACTGCGTGATCGACTCAGGGCTTTCTCTCTTCGGGATAAGAACCAGCAGAGTGTCGTTGACAGTCGCAATTTGAGCAGGGTTCAGGAAGCAAGAGCTAACATAATCTACGAATGGGTCGGCCATTTCCCCCCAGCATTTCTTGTAGAAGATCGCCGGGTATCCGTCCTTTTGGTAACGGTGGAATTACTTTTTTCCTTGACAAAAAGATTTTCTTTTTCCCCCTTTACTAATTACTAGTAGGATACATGGTACTCAATTCGACTCACAGAAGTTGAAATTATGAATTTTGAGTCGAGAGTGGTTTAATTCGCTTTTGAAATTGGCGGGTTGTGCATGGATTTTGTCTAAACCCGACCAATTGTTCACCCAATGTGCACTCAAAGAGCAAATGAAGTCGTCGTGTATATAATCTTAATAATAATATAGATAATTTGTGAATGCTATTACTACAATGATATTATTATAGTCTTAATAATATACATTATTTATGAATGTTATTAGCCTTTATATTGATATATTCGTAAGAAAATTTTCAATAATATTAGAACGAGAGTGATCGAGAAAATTATTTTGATTTATATCCGTGCACTGCACCCATGGGTAACACACGTATCCGTAAGCACCGATTGAGTTGTCTTGAGTTATCTCTTCTAAAACCCAATAAATATTTTACTATATATATTTCCGAATGTAGCCGCAAAATTGGATTTTAATTAAGAAAAAACCAATGTACTATCATCTATAACAAGTTTCTTGTCAAGCATAGGCAACCACTCATAGGCGGAGGTAGGGCAGTTTGCCCTTGTTACAGGACAAAGGCAAATTTTGGGAGGGGAAAAAATAATCCTATATATGTTTGAACGGAGAATAAACTCAACATCTATAAGTAATATAAGGATATGTTGGCACTACACTATAATTGATTACTTGTTCATTAATTCTCAAAGAATAATTAATTTATTGGTTTCATTCATGACACTATTATTCGACAACAGATTGTTGGGTATTATAATGATTTTATGGCTGATGAGAGATTTGTTGGATTGAAAGAAATTGATAAATGATCTCAGATCATGGTGGAGACAAAAATGCATAGGTTATATCTGTCAGTTTATTTGCTTCTGAAATTAGTTTTGATACTACCAGTTGCAACTCCGAACGTAAAAAGAGAATTTTTAGATTGATATATTAAGAACAAGTTTCGAAGTCGAATTGATGATCAGGTTGTTAATGATTGTTTAGTGGGAATACCAAAAGAGGCTCACTTAAGAATGTAAACAATTAATGTATTTTGTAATTCTTTCATAATATGAAAACTCGTCGTGGTTGTTTATGCAAACAATAATTGTATTAATCGCTTATTTCTTTATCTATTAATGAATTATTTTGATATTATTAATTTTAATTTTAATTATTAAATATTTATATTTTTATATTTTGAAAAAAGAAAGGGGTAGTTCCGAATCATGGCTCCGGCCACTGCAACCACTGACAATACTAATCGAGCCAAATTCCAACCTATAATAAGAGTTGAAGAAAGTGGAGGGAAACAACATATTCTTTTTTTCTGTGGCTCATTTCCGATCAAAACAATATGAGTATTGAGTGGTGGTGAACTGCCGACCGCGAAAACCAACTGTAAACGTGTCCCTCAAGCCGAGCCCAAGAAGAACAATGCGTGCAAGCTAATTCAGACAACACGCACGGCCGCCACCTGCCACACCTCTCCATCACCAATCTTCCCTCCTTCCACCGCTCACTTCCTTCTTCCCCTGCATCCCCAACTACCTTCGCTTCACTTCGCTTAGCAGATGGAGGGTGTCGCCATGGCTCTATCATCATCCTCATCATCATCCCTACTCCACCCATTGATCCTCTCCCGCACCAGACCCACCAACCAATATCCCTTCTCCATACCCACCTTCCCTCCTCCCGCTGTGATCACCAACTCCGCCGCAAACCGCCTTCGCCGCCGCAGCAGCAAGTGCCACGCAGTCACCACCTCGCATCCTCCTCCTCCTGCAATGGATCAAAATTCCGACAACGACGAAGCAGTGCTGTTCGGCGATCCCTCGATCGAAGCGGGGCGGAGCGAGGAGAGAGTGGCGGTGGCGGATTACGACTGGACGGAGGAGTGGTACCCGCTCTACTTCGCCCGGGACGTCCCCGAAGACGCTCCGTTGGGGCTCACTGTGTTCGACAAGCAGGTTGTGGTGTACAGAGATGGAGCAGGGCAGTTCCGATGTTACGAAGATCGATGCCCACACAGGTAAGTTGATCTCTGTTTTACCTTGAACTGTTGGTTTGATCTTGGTAAGGTTTCACAATCTGTGCTTTCGACCTGTGAATTTTAAGGTTGGCGAAGCTATCAGAAGGGCAGATTACGGACGGGAAGCTGGAGTGTCTGTATCACGGCTGGCAATTCGAAGGAGGAGAAGGGAAATGCGTGAAGATACCTCAGCTACCTGCAGGGAGCACGATTCCCAAATCGGCCTGCGTCCGATCGTACGAGATCAGAGATTCGCAAGGAATCTTGTGGGTGTGGATGTCGTCGAGGACGCCGCCGAATGCGAAGAAGCTGCCTTGGTTCGAATCGGTGGCGAAACCAGGGTACCAGGAGGTTTCGACCATCCACGAGCTTCCTTACGACCACTCCATACTGCTTGAGAACTTGATGGACCCTGCACACATTCCGATCTCCCACGATGGAACCGACACCTCGACCAGCAGGAAGGAGGCTCAGCCGCTTCTGTTCGAGGTCACCGAGCGGTCTGATCGAGGGTTTGCCGGGTACTGGGGGAGGGAAGCAGAGGGACTGACGAGCTTCCTGCGGTTCCAAGCTCCTTGTGTTCTGTCAAACGTCAGAGAATATACGGATGATACTGGGGAGAAGCATTATGCAACTGGGTTATTTCTCTGTAGACCGGCGGGCCAAGGGAAGTCGATGGTTCTCGTCCAGTTCGGTACCACTAAAGGTTTTAAACTGGCGAAATGGATACCCAAATGGTTCATACACAACCTCTCCTGCAAGATATTCGAACAGGACATGGGGTTTCTGTCGTCGCAGAATGAAGTTCTGATGAAGGAAAAAGTTCCCACCAAAAAGCTGTACATAAACCTGAGGTCTTCCGATACATGGGTGCTCGAGTACCGGAAATGGATGGATAAAGTTGGGCATGGAATGCCTTACCATTTAGGGCACAGCACCATTTCTCTGCCCCAGGTTCCTGCTGTCGTGGAACAAGCGCCTGCTGGTTTTCTAGCTCGCGCATCTGCTTCTCCGCCGGCTAAGGGAGGGATCATGGAGATGCATGCTCCCAACCTGACGAGCCGATACTTCAGGCATGTCGTCCACTGCAAGGAATGCTTGGGCGCTTTCAGGACTTTCAATGCTGCGAGGAATGTGCTCTCTGGTGCAGCTATTGCTCTGGTGGCGTTGGCTATTCTGGCGTCTCAACGGCAGTGGAAGGCCTTTCTGTTGGTATCGGCGGGACTATGTTTGGCTGGAGTGCACTTCACCTCCACAGTTATTGCTACCAAGACAACAAATTTCATTAGAGACCACAAGAGATAGTGATAGACTGATAGTGAGTTTTGTGTCAATGCCAACTTTTGAATTGAACATCAACTTCGATAATTCTCTGTCACAATTGATACAAAAATATATGAAACAAACAATGCCCTATTTAAAACTTGAGCCACTTCTTCTCCTTCTCTTTGCTAACCACGGCATTGGTAGCAGAAGCATGAGTAGCCTCGGCATCTTCCAAAGCTTTACGAGCTTCCTTTAACTTCCTCATGGCGGCATCATAGACCAACTTCTCCTTCTTGTTTCTACTGGCCATCTCCTCCAGCCTTTCTACACGATTTCTCAACTCCTTCACCTCATCTTCATAAGCTACCAGAGCTCGCCTGTCCACTTTCTTCTCGACCGAACTGGTCTTTTGCTGCTTCTTGGCCACCGACCCACCATTTGCAGCTAGTTGGTCATTGATGAAACTGAACACATCTGGTCGAGTTTCCTCATCTTCCTTTGCTGCTTTGGCTGCTCTAGCTGCCGCAGCAAACTTCTTATCACGTTTTCTCTTTCCACCTCTGCTTCGCTTTTTTGGCTGTTTTCCACCGCCGGCCTCCTCACGTTTCTGAGATTCTAGAGCATGTTCGAGCGATTGCTTGCCTGGATGGACCTTCACGGGGATTGGATTCACCATTCCCTGCCCAGATGCTCCTAAACCCATTCCTTCACGATACCCCATATTTGCCATCATCTTGGAAGCTATGCCCCTGGTGTGATTCTCCCACTTGGCAAACATGGTGGTCTCCGTTTGGATGCCTCTTTGTTGGTTGGTGCTTCCAAGGAATCCTATAGCGTCGGGGCTTTCTCCTTCTTCATAATCACTTGAATCGGATTGTTCTGCACCAGTATCATCACTTTCTTCTTCTTCGCTAACTATTGCATACTCAGATAGGGATATAGCTTCAGGGTAAAGCTTAGCAGAGCTCCCATCATTGTGAAAAACAACTTTGCCTAACCCGAGTTCATCATCCCAAGATTCAAGCTCAGCTTTCCTCCAAACGGCGGTATTTTTGTCAGGCATTGCCAGAATGCTGGACCCCACGAGTGACTGATCCCAAACTGTAGGAACATACTCTTTCAAGGAAGATAACGGCACATCAACCCCTGCATTCACAAACATAGATCAATTTAAGGATTCTGTATACGGTAGCCTACAAAATGGAATTGCATTCAGTAGATTATGGTGCATCTCATATGTTGGAGGCTAAATTAGGAACCAGCCCACCAAAATTAACAAAAGGTTCCAAGGAGAACATTGGATCAAAGCATCCATCATTTTCAGAACAATGGTGCAGGGGACTGCAGGAGAGAGCGACAAGAAAGTCACGTAATTAAAACGTTGGTGCCAAAGTTACTCTCTCAAGACAAATTCTACAATCCGGAGAAGAGAACATCTCTTTTTGCAAAAACAGTAACAGAGTACAGCATCTTCATTCTCTAAAAACTGTCACTAGGTATGTCTGTCTCGCCAAGTTCAATGCTGTGAAAACAGAAGATAAAGAAAAAAAACCCCTCAACTAAATCAAAGGATCCACTGGTCCATAGACCAGCAATGTAAAAAATGCAACATACCATGTGACATGCGGCAACTAGTACCAAATCGACATCGTTCTTGAAGGAAAAACTTGCACATCTGCACTTGTGGTTGGTCTACCATTAGTATCATGACTACACAAACCATCAGCTTTCACTACAGGATGCAGCTAATATAACTTCAGTATGCACAGGACTTATTCACTCAAATAATTCAGAGACATACAAGAAGACGAACAGCATTAGAAAGAATGCTCCTATTAGCATCAAACTTCAAAAGAAGAATAAGATTACGAAGAAACCTAGAAGGATGTACTCACCACCATGTTATCCGAAGTAGGGGTGAGAAAAGATATCTTGGCAGCGTCAGAACCTTCAAACCCAATAATCCGACCGTTATACCACCGTCCATCACTGAAACGGAATCTACAATTGGACCCAATTGAAAACTCTTTCTGTTCTTCTTCCTCCAATGGTTCCACTCCATCATCCGTACTAGAGTCAATGTCAATACGCTCTACTTTGACATTCTCCGCAGACCCATTGGAGCTCTGAAGTGCAGCTGCCACATCCAATTCTTTCAACAACCGTGCACGCTTCAGATGAAGAAGCCCATCCTCCGCATCTTTGATCGACTGTACTAGCTCCTCCTGAACCTGATCAAACCCAAATGCAGGAAAAAAAAACTCAAAAGTCCATACAAGAAGGCTATAGAGCAAAACACATCCAATTCTATCAGCCTAAAATTCGACATGAAACCCTAAAAAGATCGGCTTGATTCGGATTCTGCGATGGAAATAAGAAGAGAGGGTAGGGTGAGGGAGAAGACACTTACAGAGAGAAGTTCGGAATTGGAAGGATCAGAAGCAAGTGCGTCGTTGAGAGCGGTGAGGGAATCCCTCAGCTCCTGTAACTGTTCTTCCAGCTCATTCTCCAGAGCCTTTTCTTCTTCGCTCGCCATCTTCCCCTTCCTTCTTCTTCCACTCTCTCTGTTTCGCTGACTAATGTTAACGAAACCGCATATAGTTAAAGATCAGCTTCCAAACGCTGTCGTTTCAGGTGCAGAGGAGAGGAGATATATTTGGAGGCTGATCTCCACCGTCAATATGACGTCTTGAGAAAGCAACGGTGGCGATGCGGCTTCTCCAAAATCATAACACCAGTGTGATCGGCGGGTAAATGTATATCAAATACGTCATTTCAAATTCCCAATTTCGAGAAAGGACCTCCGAACGGAAACCCTAGATTGAGGCAAGGGGGAAAGAAATGGGACGTGATCATCATCGTAATCAAGCGGCCGACGGTCTGGTGCTTCTGTTGATGAAAGCTCACCATGATCTCGCAGCGGTTCAGTCCAAGCTCGAGAAGGAATTTCAACAGACTTACCCAGACAATGTAAGTGGCCTGCCTTCCGAGGATTTCCTTTCTTATGGCAGAATCTTGCACCCTTTCATTTCTGCTTGAGTTTCATACTTCGTCTGTAGTAAATCTTAATCTATTTGCGAGGAATGAGAGAAAAAGCTAGCAACTCGTTTTGTAACTCGGTCCAGTGTGTTGGAAATTTGGAAGGATAATTGTGTGCCTGTATTTCTGACTGCAGGCAAATCCTGTAAAGCTGGTTAATAGGATAAAGAAGATACAGGAGGAGGTTTCAGGGCTAAAGGAGCAGTGCGGCGAGCTTCTTGCTGCAAAACAGGTGACTTGCTCTACTTCATCCTGTCAATTGGGATTTCCCCACCATAAGCGAAGCCACCAAAATGCTAGCGCATTGGAGACTAGTAATGATGGTGCACTTACTGAGTAGTAAGCTTTAGTCTTCCACTGCACATTAGTAACTATGAAGCATACTAGTAGATTGTGGTTGCATGGAAATTATAGCTGTTTGATCTGATCCTGAGGCCGACGACCAACTGTGCGTGCTTTGAATTGCATCTCGATTTAGATTAGGAAACCCCGGAGATGATCAAAACCTAATAAATGCCATATTGCATAGCATGTTTTCTTCTTCTTCTGAATTTAGTGGTGTTGCAATGTCAGCTTTGTTCATAGCTGGTCCTATTCTCTTTGATGCTGTGGCTAGTTTCACAGTTGCGAATATGGTTGGTTCTTCGGGCTATTTCTGCAGGAGTTGGTTGATAAAGCACGCACGGTTCTTTTGGGGAACAACAATGTAATACAAAGGATGCAAGTATCAACTGGCATTTCTCCAACTACTGTTGATGAGGATCCTGCATTTGCTGACTTCAATCAGGTATATTGTGCGAAAAGTCCCAACATTCTTCCACAGCAAAATCAAATAAAAAGAACTGAAACATGGATTGTGTGGCCTACGACTAGAGGTAGTGATTTAAAAGGTTGGATATTTCCAAGTGGCGTGTGAAGTGTTTGCACCATTTGCCAGCAGGCAACCAACATTGAACAATCGTTGAGGCTTTACACCAGCGACAAGTACCCTGGCAGAGATGCTTTTTGGGTAGCTTGTCTTTCAGTTTGAAATGACCTACAGGACTGAATCATGGCCAACTTTTTGTTTGCTGGTTCTGGATTCTTTTTCATTGTCCAGTCTCTTCTGACTTCTCTTCAGTCATGTGTAGCTTTGTTATGTAAATTGTTGATGCATTTTATAATGGTCTGCAGGTCATTGATGAGTGGAGTACACAAGTCCGATCAGGAACTGGTAAGAATTTTGAAGTTCATCCCATCTCATTTTGAAGTCCTTCCATTAGAAATGGTGGACAACCTTATAAATAAATAAAAATTTGGTTGACTAGCTTAGAGAATTCTCTAGTTAGAAAAGATCAGCGATGTTTAGTTGTAATTCCCCCATTGAGCTCTACGTGGAAAACTTGTGTGGAGATTTTCTTCTGAAATGTTGTGCTGCTGTACATTTCAAAGTCCATGAGACCACAACTTCAGGTGGTTTGGCCAATAATCATATTGGTCGTAGTAATCGTCTTTGTTTTCTGAAGCTAGAAGCCATTTCCTGTTGTTGATGCAGGAAACGATGGAGATGATTCTGAAGGCCAGGACATAAACCAATTGCTCTTCTCTACCATTGTGCAAAGCAACGACTAAGTACAGACGTCGGTAGCAAAGACCTGGGTAGCCGAAGATGGGATTTCCCAGAACCTATCTAAAATTGTAGTATGGCCTCAAGTACCAATTGCGTGACAAACACCACATATTTGAAGAAGATAACAAGCAATCCCCAAAGTTTGATTTGGTGGTACAGTCAGTATTTACGTCAGAGTTGTATTAACAATGCATCCTGTTACAGTTAAAAGTGGATTATGAAATGCTAATCAATTTGTGCTAATACAAACTTGATCCCCCGGCTGGCTGTTAGCATAGTAAGGTCCTTGAATACATTTTCTTGGCTAGCTAAAACAGCAAATGAGCTAACTCGAAGAGTTGCCAAGTTAAACATTTGTTCAGTGTCATCGAGCATTCCTGAAAGACGTGCCCTTTCTAGTTCTTTCGCATAAGCCAACAAGTCAATCGATTCTGCTGCATAGGTTATTAGGTCTACCTCGCCCTATGTAAGTGCAAGGAGCCTTGAAAGAACATGTCATCATGAACAACCCTAGACCAGACATCAAACTTGCAGGCACCACTACACACTGGACATAGGGCTAGCAGAAAGCTTCTGGGACGAAATTTCATCCGCTGCACCTTCCAATCCGATAGAGTACCAGGAAACGAATAGGCATTGAAATCGAATGATGAATGCATTGTATATAAATGAGCCAGGATTACAGATCCAAATATACAATTCCACCGTGTGGTCTGACCATTTTTCTATAATGGGTGTTAAGTAAATTAGTGTAGAGACGACCACTGATACGATCTGAAGCCTTCCTTACGTACCGAGGATTGCATCAAACACAATGTAGTCTGCAAGGGCAAATCAAGAGGCTAATTCACTCAATCGCATACAGAACAGAACGGTGAAGCTTTTGTGTCTTGTCGTGCTGCAGCTGCTATGATCAACCGGTACTTGGGTGGGGGATAGGAGGCTCCCCTAACCACTTGGCACGAAACCCAGTTCCCTTACAGTCCCGGCATCGCATGGATCCCTGGAAAAAAGATTCAGATGGTTCACAAACTGATTCGTTAGTTTTCGGCAGCTCGAGTCACTCTGCAGGTATTATACAATTAAAGGGCTCCTGACAGAACAAGAAATTTCTCACGTTTCCAGCACAAATAACACAGCCGGTATTTCTGGACGGGACTTGGCACAGCATGTTATCCCCAAGAATGAAGAAACCAGTTCCTCGACACCATTGGCATTCCACATGGCCATTTGAGTCGCATGACGAACAGGCCACAGGTCTCGGTTGCTGTCAATTGCCGAGATCAACCCAGTCAGTTGGAATTTGAAACATCGATGAGAGAAAAGCCGAAGGCTATACCCAATCCATTACAGAAATGATTCCGCGAATTCGAATACGAAAACCTAATTTGTATGCAATCCGGGCGAAATTCAGGAGCTTGCTTTACCTTAGAGATCAGCCAAGCCTGCTCCATGCGCTTGATGAAATCAGGAGAGCTACCGTATGAATCCACAGCAGCGGAAGCCCTGACTCTGAAAACCCTAGATGGAACCTTCCCGGGTCGCAGTAGGCTGACCGGCGATCTGTCGATGAATGAAGAAGAGGTGGAGCTCATGGTGTTCGGCGATTTAGCCGCAGTCGCCGGCAGCATGGTGCTACTACCGCAGCAGAAGCAACTAGTCATGTCTTCTCCGATCGCGTGAAATGAAATCCAAAGAAATTTCCGTAGAAATGTTGGAATAATCGACGCCAATGTATTTGCAGAGAGTTCTGTCCTGTTTTTCTTGTGGCGCAAAATTTAACAGCTTTTAGCCTTTATGGGCTTCTTTCTTTGGGCCTTGGAGGCCGTTTGAACCGTAGATTCCCACACAGAAATTTCTTGTAAAATATAATTTCATTCTATTTCGAGTAAATACATTTTTAATTAGAGCTCTATCAAAATTCTCTGATGGTCCTGTCCCTGATTTTATCATTAGACTTTAAATTTGTCCCTTTACATTTGGTACCGTTTGATACAAAATAAATCGAGAATTCATTTCATTGTAAAATGAATTACTGTGTAGAATTCATTTTCAAATGAAATCTTGTGTTTGGTATGTCATATTCAAATCTTTAGAAATAAAATGAATTTCCGTGTAGAATTCGTTGTCAAACGAATTCATGCGTTTGGTATGTCAGATATATAAGTAATTTACTTGATAAAAGAGGATAATTATATCATTATGTTATAATTAGTAAATACCTATGGAATTCATTTGAAATTTTCTATCTCAATTTCTCAGAATTGCTATAACTAGTTCCAATTCCATAGAATTTAAAATTTAGAATTGAAAATGAATTCTGTTAAATACCAATCACAAAAATGTTTCATTCCAACATGAATTCCTCAAAACTTACGGAATTTATTTATACCAAACGGTATGTTTAAAGGATTTTGGTACTCGTCAACGGAAGAAGCAACAATGTATTTAAAGGATTTTCGTACTCAACTTTTTGAGGGTGAATTGCCACATATATTTAAAAGGATTTTGGTACCCAAATTTTTTGCTAAGCGGGGTCCTAAGACCTCTCTCCTCAAAGGTTACCTCTTCCACTGTATTTACTTATATTTTGGTATTGATCGGTATTTCGGTATATAACGATTTTCATTCCGTTTCCTAATATCAAATAACGCTTGAAATTCAATCACAATCCCAAATATTGACAAAAACATATATTCGGTACTACTAAATATTGACAAATATCGGTAGGGTATTCGATATATCCCAAATATCGATTATAGAATTATAGGACTCAGTTGACGCCATTTGTCACCTAGCATAGGAAAACAATCGACTCCTGCATCTCTTCTGCTGCATGCATGTTGTTATCATCATCACCCTGCTCTTATTAATTCCCTTCTCTAACCTCCATGGTTACGTTCTTCAGTCTCTGCCTTCCCATCTACAGGTTGTTGTTTCCCTTTCTTGTACGCACTCTTCCTTTCCCCCTTACATTATTCCCTTCCTTCTTGTTCCACTTTGGCACAAAGCTCATGGCTGCTTTCTTGGCAGTACAATAAACTTCAAACCCTAATCGACAAAAAAAGAGAAAAAGGTCATCATCATCTTCCAACTCTCTCCATTTCATTGCTCTCACGCTTCAACACTTGGACCTAACTTCCATTTGACCTCTTCAACTTCATCATCACCAAGTCAAAACCCAATGCCTGGTCTTTCTTGTATTCAACTCTTTTGATTAGCTGCAAAAATGTTCCACCTTTTGTCACCATCCAAAAGTCACAAACCCTAACCCTACCCCACTCCCCAATTTTCCCCTTTTGTCTCATTGCTAATCGGTTTTATTAACTATTGTATACCAGTCAAAATGGGGAAGTTGGGGAGAAGAAGACTACATTCTGGTTTCTGGATCCATCGTCATTTGTCTCTTCGACAGGAGACGCAACATAGCACAAATGTTTCCTCTAGAAAGGTTGACTCCCGCTGCTAAACAAACTCTAGGGGCATGAACATATCAACAGTTGGGTCACTCTACTTTTGGGGGTTACCTGCAAATCATCAGTCACTAATTTTTTTTTTTTTTTTTGTTTGATAAAGTTGCTTCTCTATTGATTATTCGATTCGTGCCGGCGTGCTGGAAGCGATCGAATGTATTCCATGTCGGGGTCTGATCTTTCTGGAGGAAGTCTGTATCCTTTATACGATTTTCTCGTTTTCGAACGTGTTGTTATGTTCTTTAGAGGATTCAAAAAGCTGTCCATCTAGTGACAATACAAGCTCTTTGACCGATAGGTCGTTTGTCTATGAACTATCATTTACGTTGCTATTTAATTAACGTCTTGTAAATTATTCCTCTTTGTATTTGGGGTGGAAAACGTTATCACCCGAATGTGGAGTTACTGACCTATTACAGTCGTTTAGCTTGTCTTTATTAGGAATCATATTCAAAAGTCTTTGTATAGGGACTTTGTTATTGTGTTCATAGGCAATAGCACCATATGTTAGAACGTGAGCACCATAGCAAAATTGTTCATATCGATTTTTACAATTCAATCAAAGTAAAAATGAAACCAATTAAACGTAGATATTTACTAGCCGACGTGGAATATCCATTTCAAATCATACTTGGTACAAACCAAACTTGTTGCATAAATCTATCGTAACTCGAGTTGCTCGAACCACTTAATCTTTTTCTTTCTCTCCCTGATTGATAGCTAATTAGGAGATATGAAAGACTTTTCTCCATTATTAATTTAAGTAATTTTACCAAACCAATACGCTTATATGGACAATACATAGTAAAACATGTCTTACGAAGATAAGTGAAGTAACTGTTGTACTAGTTATGCCCGATTTCCACGAAAATTTTGTAAGAACCAAAACTTAAAGATTAATTTGTTAACAATTGCGAAATTGAATGAGTCTTTATCTAATTAACCAAAAAAAAAAAATAGAAATTCAAACAACAAAAAAAATTCCTCTTGACTCCAAGGACCACCCAATGTTTGTACCCCCATTAGCACATCACAACAACCATTGGAATCATCTCCAAAGACCAATCCTTCTCTTCTCCATTATCGCCCCCTTCTTCTCACCCTTTCCCCTCCTCCTTATTATATAACTCTCTCAACCTCTCTCCACCTGAAGAAGAACACATCAATCCGCCTTCTCCTTCCTCTCATTCGTTCTTTTGTTCATTCATTTTTTTTTGTAAACACTCTTACTAGCTAAGAGTGTTTAACTTTAGGGTCATATTAGCCATGGAAACAGAGAGCCGGCGCCATGTCAACGCCGCCGCATTACCCCCGACGTCGCCGGTTTCTTCCACCACGTTCGTCCAAGCCGACGCGGCGACCTTCCGGGACCTCGTCCAGAGGCTCACCGGATTATCCCCCGATTCCGAGATCCGGCTGCCGGTCACTCTGCCTTCCAGAATTCACGCTCCAAAACAGGGGAATTACAACAACAACAACAGCAACAACGGCAACGGCAATCATCCGCCGGTCAATTCGCCCCGCCGGTCGCCGTACAAGCTCCAGGAACGCCGGCACACGATCAGGAAGCTGGAAATCAAGCTGAGCCGGGCGTCTCTCCGGAACAATAATTCCTCCGGCGCGAGCCCCTGTTCCTCACCCTGCCTCGTGGAGTCTCCGATTGCCAGCCCCGTCACGCCGCTGATGGGCTCCGGCGCCGGCGAATCGCCCTTCTTTTCCAGCACCGAGACGTCCCCTTCGACGCCTTGCTCCGAGGAGGAGAGGGCGATTGCGGAGAAGAGGTTTTATCTCCATCCGTCTCCGTTGAGCACGCCGCGCGGGAGCGAGCCGCCGGAGCTGCTTCCCCTGTTTCCCCTGAGTTCTCCGACGACGCTGAGGATTTGAATTGGATTTGAAGCATTGGGGAGAAAATTTAATTGAATTGGGTTCGCTGGGCGGCAGCGATTCCAAATGTGTGGATAACTGATCCGGCGAGCGGCGGGGTTGATAATCGTTATGGCCGGCGGAATATTTGTCTGGCCGGCCGGCTGACACGGAAAGGAAAAGATGCGTTGGGGATTCTAATCCGGCGAATGGTTAAATGGGTAAATTTGGTGGGTAGTGTAGGTTTTAAGATGGATTAATTAATTAGTTTAACGCCTCATAAATTGTAATTTCGTATTTAATATTAATTTACATATGTTAATACGTCTGTCTAATTAATATAAAATTTAATTTGAAAGAAGCATTTGGTTGGTTGTGGAAATTGCTAAATAAAACAATGCAGTTAATATTTTTTTATGAATAAATTCAGTTAATTTCCCATCACCAAAAAATCGGTCATCATTTTTTATCCTTCATTGTCCCATACCCCCATTTGGTTTTTTATAACCGGAGACAAAATTATTTAACTAATAAACAAAGCGTAATACCACCCGTTTATATAAGTTTTACGTAACAACATTTTACAATTATTATGTAAGAGAACGTATAGATTAATTAAAAGGTTATGGAGATTTCTTATGTGGTAGTCTAACAAATGGATGGGCTAGGTTGAAACTACGAGCGGTTATAGTCCCCATCAACTTTGAAATATAGTTAAAATTACATGTAAAATTCGTAACAAATTTAGTGAATAGTGTAGTCTCCAAGGCATTAGCCCCCTCTCCAATTACCACGATTCAAATCAACCCTTCTCATTCATATTTATGAATTTACCATTAAGTCTAACATCGAGTTGCATAAGCATTTCATAATGTTATTACACCCTACATAACTCGATGTCAACGTTAATTACGTAAAAATGATATTTTCACACTACTTTACAATTATTACGTAAGTTATTAGTGATGACAAACGGGTAGGGCGGGACGAGTATCTCCATACTCATTCTTGCCCGGCATCAAGCGCGGTGGGTACAAGACGGAGCTAGCTTTGTGAATTTTAAATTTTAATAGAATCAGAGAATCACAATGTTGACACCATGTATACAATTGCAGAATTTATTGATAGAAATCCTGTAATGATCTGAAAGATCTGAAACAATACAATCTAATTGTAAATGAGAAATTAAGAAAATATGAAGTTTTACTTACCCAAATCTCCTTTTGGTCCCAAGCACAAAGTGTGTGGGCATATGATGTGAGTTGCCTAATTGCTAGCCCGGCCCAAAAACCCTCAACTTACTGGACCAAGGCCCATTCATACTCTCTTATCTCTTGGCTCCCGTTTTTGCTTGAAGTTTCCAGTCCATTGATAATGCTTCGTCTATGGTGACGGACAACAACCTTATCGTTGCTAAAGACATATTTCTCATCACCATTTCTTTATTTATCAGATTAGTCGTTGTGTTGTCACTCTAATGCTATGATGATATGTACCAACAAAAAGATCAACGTGCCACATTACTAACAACACGGACACAATAAGATTATCGTGACAAAGATAGTACGAAATGTCTAGATGCGTTAAGAAATCTCGTCGTCACAAAACAAATCACTAAATTTTGTACTGGAAAGGAATCGATGGAAGCACGTGAACTACTGTAAATTTGAGCCATACAGTCCAACCAGCGGCGGATCAAGGGGGGGCCGCCCTCGGGCCACGACCCAGCCCTCCTCGGATCCGGAGCTAGTATACCTCTTATAAATTTTCGATTTTAGGTATTCGTTTATGTTCTCGTGGAATTACGGTCTAGTCTTCTCCGTCTCTTTTCAAATGTGGTCCCAATGCTCTACCCTATTCTGTATCCGCCGCTGAGTCCAAGATCTTCAGGAATAGGGAAGAGAATCATAATGAAGAAGTGAGAACAAAAGCAGCGGGGAACCATTTGGGGAGGATCGAGTATTTGGCTTTCACAAGGAGAAAATAAATCCCATAGCAAGGGACGTGCACCAGAGCCAAGCAGAAGTACCATAATGGCGCCCATGGCGTACTCAGCTCCAAGAACGGGTACGGCCACCTGCAGAATTCCAGCATAGGAAATCAACACAAACATATTTCTTGCTTTGGGGTTATTTTGAATACATCAACAGGAATGCTGGATAAATGGTTGCTTACCATGAAAGACCACAGGCGTGAAGAACCCACTGGAAAACTATGTAGATGCAACTCCACTGCACAAAATACGCTATCCGGAACCATGGAAACGGCTGGTGGTCACGAATCGACGATCACCAACGACGAACATCGATAGTTAGAAACCAAAGAAAGAACAAAACCCAGAGTTGGTATTTGTATCAGAACTCAGAAGCAGAGGCTTACAAGGCTGTTGAGAGCTGTATCAATGATCAGGAAGACAAGATTCACAGAGTGCATGAGCCCAGTCAACTGCAGAAAAGTACCCAATAGTGTGACTAAAATCATGTTGCATCTTTGAGATAAAAAAAACCAGTATGGAGTGGATTGTAGCTTACAAACCATGGTCAATTGAAAATGTTGGTTGGATTCAAATGGCAGGATAAGACACCAGAACACAACATCAGTCAAGATTACAGCTCCTGCACAAGTCTGCACAATCGAATAATCGATTCATGAATCCGAAACCTTTTTCTCTGGGGAATTTAGCACTACTCTTTCAACTATAACCCAACTTAGTACTACACCTGATAAATGGTCTGCATAAGGCATCCCATGAATCCTGCTGATAATCTCCCTTGTTCATCAGCAGAATGATGATGATGATGATGACTGTGAGTTTCGATATCGATTATGGTATCGCTAACGACACCTTTCCCTTTCTCCTTCCTCTTCTGCTGCAGCACCGCCCTTTCGTAGGCCTCGTCGCAATCTCCATTGCCAGCTGGTGGTTGCTGCTTGTTGTTGTATCCCCAACAACAACAACAACAACCATATGCAGACATTGCAGTTGCCAACTGTTCACATGTCAAATGAAGAGATCAGCATCATTGTATTGTATTATAGTACAAGCTGGACAGTTTCAGTAAAAAATTGTTCCTAACAAACCGCAAAGTAAACAATCTCGAGCGCGAATGTCCACCTGCAGGAAGAAAAAAAAAAATTCAGCACCAAACTCAGGATGCAGAGTTTTCGAGCAGGGTAAATGATCGAATATGTACCGAAACAACCAAACTAAGGAAGTTTAAATGATACAAGGAGGAACAATGCTCACTCAGTGTAGTAAAGGAATATGGAAGCAGTCCAATCAAGGATATCCCAGACCAAGATTGCAGCCATGGCCACAAGGGAAATGCAACGAGTGGCAAGTAACCAGCCAGGGTGCACACCTTTCCAGCAGCAACTCCATAGATTGGTTATCATAAACTTGTTGTCGCGGGCTCGATCCACTCCTTCGAGGAGACTCTCGTAGTAATCCGAATCGAAATCATTGGCCTGGTGGAAATCTGGAGATGGTGATGATGGTGAATCTGTTGTGGGAATTCCTTCCTTCGTCCATAGAGTCCACAGTGATCCCATGAAAGCAGCAGCAACAATCCCAAAACACACGAAATCGTACCACTGCACCACAAGTGCCATCAATGTGCTTTTGTGTACCCAGTTGTGGATGTTATAAATGAGTAAAATGCTGTTTTTGGAATGAAGGTATGGAGGGATCGGATTTGCAGTTGTGGTTTTTGAAGAGGAAATTTGTGCCTGCTTGCAGGTTGGTTGAACTTGAAGGTGATATAGTACATTAGTACTGTCTGGCTTTTGACTGGTTGTTCTTGCTTCATTTCTAGAATTTTGACTGTTCGGTTCATAGGAAGTAGGTGGAATCGGTTTTGGTTTCCTTGATTAAAAGGGTAGTTTCCTATACAGTTGTAATGCCACTGCACATCTATCAATGGATACTCAGGCAGCCAAGATATTGTATGTTTTAGAACTTGGAGGATGAATGTCAACGCTATGAGTTGACAAGAAAAAGAGATTTCCATGATGTCAAGATTTATATGATAGTTTAGGTACAAAATAAATATTAGTAACAGTACCAGAGCTGACTTCAAACAACGAATTTTGATTGTACCATGATATTTATACAAGTTTGGGTTTTCGATTTTAGGTAATGAGGATGTAAGATAGTACATGATGAAATATGTCATTTGTCAATGGCAGTTGTAATTTGATTTTTATGAGTACCATATTGTTAGAAATGATATTGATATCACGATATGTAATATTAATTCATTTGAGAGGGTGATTATACATTTCTAGATCCATCCATTAAAATGATACGAGAACATACCACTCTTATATAGATTGACAGAACCAACCCTTTTGGTGTCATCTAATTCTTTTACATGCTTCGTGGAATACCTGATGTCTATCTTATTGTGCACCAAATAAGAAGCTATAAATAGGCAACACTTACAACGTGTGTTTACTATGTATTTAATATCCTCGTAAGGAGTTAATCTAACTTCTGCACCTAACATGCAAATTTCGAGACAGTTGTTAGCTTGTACACTATTGAGTTTGCAATGTTTTAAAAAGTATTCTAAAGTTATAATAGAATGATGTTGTCACGAATATCAATTTTCAAAATTCCAATCGAGTCACGCCTTTCTATAGATCCTAGTAGATTAGAGTGCTATTTTCAACTTGAGGTACGTCTCTCAAGTTTCACCTAATCTTAACGAGACAACCTACACTATTTTAAGCTCCAAAGCAACTGTAACATCCGTTCCAAAAATGTGTCGACATAAAACATTGTAAAGTTGGGATCTTTTGGGATGCTTTCCCAATTTATGCCTTGGAACCCAATTGATCAATGCCAAATGTGTAGCGGTGAGTGGCCGGGGAATTAGTGCGCCAGCCACAGACAGCAATTCGGCCTTAGCCACCTCGTCGGCGCTACAACAACAACGCCACTAGCCGGCCGCGGAAGTGGCTCTCTCTCTCTCCCTCTCTCCCCGCTCGCTTTCCCTCTTCCCCCTCGTGGAATAATTCCCTTTCTTCATCCGAAAAAAATCCTTTCTTTGTGGCCACAAAACCAACCTCCGGATTTCCTACTTCACCCTCTTCCCTTGCAATTGATGCTCTCTTGCTTCTCTCTCTCCCTGTATCCGCCAGTCACTATCTCAAACACCTCATTCCCACTTGTCCGCTCTCCGCCTTCTCTACGGCTGCCGTCGTCTATTGCACTACACAAACATATACAGTCATATACTTCCCCGCTCCTCGCTCGACGGCAACGACCCACCATGGCTTTGCTGAGTGTTATCTAAATCGACGGCGCAAGACTTCTTGAAAATGCAGCAATCTTCGGGGGTAGCTCAGGAACCGGGGCCTCTTGTCGATTGGGTGGCTCAATTCGGTCGCTTTGCATTCAACGCCGCAGCGAATTCAAATGGGTACTCTTCCTTTCGTTCCAATTACTTGTACTTTGATACCACGGGTCGGAAGAGTATCAGGGGAGGCAGGGTGGCTGCTTCCTTGAGGCTGGGAGAAGGAGGCGGTTCGAGTTTCAGAAGGATTTGGAATGATTTTAATGGGTTTGTTAGGTCTCACTGTTATAGAATCCCTATTGGGTTCGCTTCTGTTGGGGTCGGGCCAGGGGATTGTAGGAGTAGTAGTAGTGATGGTAGTAAGTTGAACGATGGTTGTGATGCTTTGGTGGATGAGGGTTTGCCTTTGAATGGAGTTGGGACTGACGGCCCTAAGAAGGTTCTCATTCTGATGAGTGATACCGGTGGTGGGCATAGAGCTTCTGCAGAGGCTATCAAGGCAGCTTTCTATGAGCAGTATGGTGACGATTATCAGGTAAATCTCTGAGCTTTCATTGAGTTTGGTCTCTTGGGTGAGGGAAAGTTTGAGGAAACATGGGTCTAAGTTATGATCGATGATGCAATGATTTATGGTTAACTCTTGTTTTTGTTGATTGTCTTATGAGAGTTCCCGCCTGCCTTGTCTTGTTCATTTTTGTGCTGTGTTAAAGAGTGTGTATTTCAGGTGTTCATTACTGATCTATGGTCAGAGCACACACCTTGGCCGTTCAATCAATTGCCTAGGAGCTATAATTTCTTGGTCAAACACGGTACATTGTGGAAAATGACATACTATGCATCTGCACCAAGGCTAATTCATCAATCGAATTTTGCTGCAACGTCAACGTTTATAGCTCGGTAGGACCTTGATGTCCTTTTTCTTTAGTGCCAAACTGAAGTCTTGACGCTATTTTATTGTAGCACAGTAAGTTGCCAAAGGATTCATGCGAAGATCTTGTTGCCATCTTCATTTTGCAGTGAAGTTGCCAAAGGATTGATGAAGTACCAACCTGACATTATTATCAGTGTGCATCCACTGATGCAGCATGTTCCTCTTCGTATATTGAGGGCGAAGGGTCTTTTGCAGAAGATAGTATTCACTACAGTAATTACAGATCTTAGCACATGCCATCCAACCTGGTTAGAACTTGGCTCTTGTATGCTTTGATACTTGTCATTCAACCTTGGACTTTTTCTTTATTAATGGGTTTCAACTTTCAACCTTTTTAATACTTTTCGGATATTGGCCTTCTAGGTTTCATAAGCTTGTTACACGATGTTATTGTCCATCAACCGAAGTTGCTAAGAGAGCATTGAAAGCCGGGTTGCAGCCTCCCCAAATCAAAGTTTTTGGCCTTCCTGTTCGACCAACCTTCGTCAAACCTGTTCGGCCTAAGGTAGGTGACCTCAGTTTTGACTGATGAACACTGAAGTGATGAGAGAACACATGCACGCATAACACTGCAAGTTTCATTTAGCAAGAATTGATTGAATTGGTCTAATAACTACTGAGGTGTCTCGCTCATGGAGTTAATACAGTGCGATGTTTTGGAAGCTCATTTATTCTGTTTTCGTGGTTGTATCTTGTTCCTTATATGTTCTAGGAAGAACTAAGGAGGGAACAGGGGATGGATGAAGACCTTCCTGCTGTTCTCTTGATGGGGGGAGGAGAAGGGATGGGGCCCATTGAGGCAACTGCAAAAGCACTTGGTGATTCTTTATATGATGAGAATCTTGGGGAGCCAATTGGTCAAGTCCTTGTTATATGTGGCCGCAACAAAAAGCTTGCTAATAGATTGGCTTCAATCGATTGGAAAATTCCTGTCCAGGTAACACTGCCTTCGTTGTGGCACCGTGTCTGTAGAAGATCATATTCCAAACATGCACTCATATGCTAAACCAATAAAGATTCATAAATTACACAACTTTCCACATGTACAGGTGAAGGGATTTGTGACTAAAATGGAAGATTGCATGGGGGCATGTGACTGCATCATCACCAAGGTACATGTTTGTCTCGAACCGATTGACACTGTTCGATCCTTTATAACGTACTCTCATGAATTTCGGTTTGTGATAGGCTGGTCCGGGGACTATTGCAGAAGCCATGATACGTGGGCTGCCTATAATTTTGAATGACTACATTGCAGGGCAAGTAAGTAGTCTGCTTGTTCACGTCCTTTTGCTCTGGCTCTTTGTTTGTGCAAACAAGCGTTAACTTAACAATGGGAGTTGTGAAAACACACGCAGGAAGTAGGTAATGTGCCCTACGTGGTGGAGAATGGATGTGGGAAGTTCTCGAAATCGCCAAAAGAGATAGCTAGGATCGTTGGTCAATGGTTTGGTCCAAAGAAGGAAGAACTTAAGGCCATGTCTCAAAATGCTCTGAAGTTGGCCAGACCTGATGCGGTGTTCAAGATTGTCAACGATATGCATGAACTGGTTAGGCAGCGGAGTTATGTCCCTCAGTTGAACTGTGCAACTTAAATCCTGTCAAAACAATCAAGCCCCACATTATCTTTCCCTCATCATCCATGAAATTTTGACTCAAGTGAGGTTGGTTTGAGACTTTGTATCCATGTTCTGAGATCTGTCACTGATTTGAACAATGAAAAAGAAAAGCTATCTGCCTGATTCTTTCTGTGAATCTTGTTTGGTTTACATTTTCAAACCGAAGAACGGTCACAGCAACTGTTACCCGGGTGACCTCAATCGCCGTTAGTCAGTTACCATATGAACAGCCTACTGCTGCCGCCATTTAGAGACGCAGAGAAATTTGAAAAGGTAGCTCCGACTGGCAAACCACAAGCCGCCCCTACTCTTCCAGCTACACCGCCGCTAATCGGAGGAAGAACTTGCTGCTGTTGGACGACGATGAACTGAGCTTGAATTAGATCAATTGCAGTTCTGGATGGATCACATGGAAATGGAGTCTGAGCCACCGCCCTGTATGCTGCTAGTTTCTGTGCAGAAGGGAACGCATCCTATTTATAGAACAAGCAGGAATCATTCATCCGTAAAAGACAGCTGAAGTTGGATCCAGTAGAAAACTAGTGTTTGACAAAATTAGTACGCCATTGCCACAATACATCCTTCCTTCCATCTTGATAATCTGTTACTACAGTCTACACTCTTACCAGTTCGACACCACCACAATATATAATACTACTAGAATCAATACCCGCGGCTACGCCGCAGGGCCTTAAGTTGCTGTGTCGTGATTAATAGATGGACAATTATGGTCAGAGAGTTAATTAGATTGACAACAAAGGGAAAACATTCTAAACACCATGAAATATATAGATGCTTTTTTTATGAACTAAGATGACGTTAATTTGTCAGAGAGTTAATTTTTCATTTGTATGAAAAGAGCATGGTTGGCAGTAGCAGAAACTTGACGCGCAACTATCCATTTAGTAGTAACAAAAACAAAACCGAAACGCTTTACTTAAACAACATCGTCATCAGCAACAACTTTTAAGGACACATGCATTAGAATGCAAGAGGCCAGAAAGAGGGACTGGCAAGTTGAGGCCTCAACTGAGAATCTTGACTTATTCCATCTCTTGCTTCCAGGTACCATCCCATGCACACTGGAAAAAAAAGTATCGCAAACAAATTTAATCTTCACGCTCAATTATGACAAATCAGGGTAAGCCAATAGTACCAATCAGTTGCAGAAAGTTAAAAGAAAATCATCAAGTTAATATTAAAAGTCGATAACATTTCTCTTTAAAGAAATTGAGCTGAATCTTTACCTCATTCCAGCTGCAACCTCCCTTGCAATGTTCATTTCAAGCTCTGAAAGGCATATTAGATCGGCAACCACGAACATAGAACCATTAAAAGAGAGTGGCAATCAAATGTCAAAACAATTATAAATCTCAAGCTGCTTTATGTTGCTGGCATAATCAGAAGGGACAGAAGTTACATGGCTAAATGTGATGGAATCTGATAAATGAAAGTTGTCTCTATACTAATACAAACCTACAAATTTAATTGGACTTAAACCGAGCTAATGTTAAGAGAAGAATAGAAAGAAGATCAACATTTGAACACAATGTTTTTTGGATAAATTTAAGATGTACTAAACTCTGCCAACCGAAAACTGGTATGATAGTGAAATTAAGACAAAATGAATTGTCTTAATTTTCATTTCCACCTGAAACAAATTGGGCAAGTCTCATGCCCACTTCAGCACATTCCGTGCAACTCTGTTGCCTTATTTCGATTCGCCTACTCCTGGTCATAGTCAGTTCTATCACACTCATCCTCCATCAACAAATTCTTCGTGTCTCCTTGTGCTGCTGCCAAGAACATGAATCCCAAATAAAAAAGCTAGTTGAACATGTACAGTACAATGCACTTGTTGGCTGATGTGAGCTTAGAGGCGAGGAGAAAGTCTTAACACATCATACTGGATAAGACGAAATATATTAAAGCAGGCAAAATCTGATACGCGAGATGGAAAAGGAAGAGAGACATAAACCAAATAAACCCTTATAAAACTTTTGTATATTGTTAGAAAATGTATTGCTGAAAAGACACATGGATAAAGAATGTGAGCTTATGAGTAGCCTAAAAATGTTGAATGAAACCACATAATAATTCCCTACCTCACATTCTTCTAGTTATGCATACCAACGAAAGCAATTGGTGGTTTAAACATATAAAAAATTGCAGTAAAGAATTCCTTAAGAATTAACATAAGCACACCCAAATTGATGTCACCTGTGTCTATTAATCTCACTACTCACAATTGATACTCTAAAACCACACTCGCAATGTTAACTAAATCAAGAACCACACTCGCAATTGAGGACAAACAAACTCGAATAGCCTGAAATTAAACTGGCAAGATAACTACAGTCAACATGGATCTGCAGAAGAATATTTTGTTGTGTGAAACAACCGGTGAGATAAGCACCAACATTGGGTAACCAAATAGGGAACTGTTTCGTAGTTGAACAGCAGCAGAAGGCCAGGAATATAAAAATATAAACAACCTAAATAGAGACTACTCATTGAGGGGGGAAATTGTATGGCAACATGGAAGATAAGTAGCACTCTGGATTCAATGACACGGTGCTGCAGCTGGAATTTCAAGGGGTGGATGAACTGCTGAGAGAGGTCAAGTTCAAGTGTGGGGCAAGCTTTCATGCTGTAGCATCTAATTTCTAATCTCCAATAGAAACCTAGTTTAACTGTAATGCTTGGGCGATATACAAAACTCGACGAAATGTTTCTCATACAGCCAGCCAACAAACTAACAATAAGGAGAATAAGACATCAGAAACGACATTGTAAACATCTGTAATCACTCCACCATAATAGAACCCAAATCTAACTACGGCTAATAGTAAGGGTTCAAACTTAAAAGTACAGGGGGAAACAAAGACCTTTAATGAGCAACTTACAATGAAAAAGGAGGCCCTCAACACATTGCTTCTAGCTTGCAGATCGGTTCCAAAGGCCTTCGCATCGTGATCCATAGAACCATGACAGTATGAAGGCATATTTGTTTAAGAGGCTGGGACTGCAATGTTGAGCAGGAGGTCAAAGGAAAGCTTCAGGGGTTATTGGAACCAATGATTTCTTGCTGGTCTTTGCTGAAGCGCCAACTCCTCCATCATCTACCAATGAATCCATGGAATGCGGAGCAGTAACTCAGAAGCCAGAACTGGAATGGAAACACCAAGGGATTGATTGATTACATGAGAATCCGAGCTTGCAGCCTTTGAACAAAAAGCATATCCTGAGAATTCTAAACTGCAACTAATTAATGGTACTCATTCATTCACTACGACGCCAAAAAAAAAAAGCACGTTCAAGTAGAAAAAACAAAACCTCATCACCCAAGATCTAATATAAGATTTCCTCATTGATGGTAGTGAAAACTGTACCCATAACTCTGTCGCTATTGCCGAGAGGTGAAGTCCCCGACAAAATCAGTCCAGAGTTCCTTGAGCGTCTTTATTTCCTCTCCTTCTCCGTGATTTTCCATTTCAGCTTCGCCTGCTGCTTAGTCTTCCACCAGCAAAACAAAAAGAGATGGGGAATAAGGTGAGAAACACTTTCAGTGGGCGAGAAGTACTCGGTGATTGCACCCTGGCTGGCAGATCCCCTTCCTTCCCGTTGCCTTCATTCTCAGTGTGCTCCTCATGTTCCAAATCGATCTCATATTCCTCCGCGTTTGGGTTTCACGGCGGCCGGCGATAGAGGAAAATTTTATGGTTTCCGTAGTAAGATAGAAGAAGGGGATTATGGAGGGGGAAGAGGGGGGAGCAAAAAAAACTGGTGGAAGAATTGAGGGTGAATCTGGGCAGAGAGAAAGAACGCCAATTGTAATAGGAGGCAAGAATGAGGTCGAGAGATGGAATTGTAGCTGAAACTGAAATGGTCAAACCAGAGAATAGAAGTCTCTCTTAATCCATAGGAGTAAGGTGAGTACTGTACATATGCATGGGCGTTGGCGTGTGAGATGAGAAGTGAACCGGACCTGTGAGATGACTGAATTTGAGAGTGGGACTGAGGGTAAAGGGATGGGATAGGGAAGTATGGGCTGCTGCGAACGTTTTTCCAAAGCTAGCTGAAGATGGTTTTTGTACTAAACGACAAATATTGAAACAGTACCAAAAATTTTGGGCCAATAAAGCGTACCCAGCTTTCATATATAAAAGAATGATCCATTACTTATTTTATCTTCTCGAATTTAACAGACTTTTCTCTGGTACTAGACGAGCTCTCGAAGAAGTAACGGATCACTTCATACGGCAGGGTTGGTGGATCTTCCGGATACTGCAGTCTTAATGTCTTCAATCTAGTAAAAGGAGAGGCTTCCGATGACTCGATGAACAGCTTCATTCTGTTGAAAGGGAAGAGGTTTTCTTCCCAAGCCGTTCCACTCTCCAACTAACAAGGAAACACAATTCAACGGGAAACAATCAAGCACTGCAATAGAGGCCAACTGGTCTATAGATGGGTATCATATCCTACTTGAGATCATTTACATCTATTCAATTAGTAAAATCATGTCTCGCAAACAGCAGAAAGTTGGTATGACGTACCTTGTCGAAACGAAGATAGAGAGACTCCACATTATGCAATCCACGCAACAAGTCCGTATATGCTCGAAAGTTGGTACGACGTACCTTGTCAAAACGAAGGTTGAGAGACTCCACATTATGCAATCCACGCAGCAAGTCCATATATGCTCGACTGGCATCCTCCCACACTCTGTTCTCATAACATGGGTATTCGCACCAGACGCGGATACATGCATGATCTAGGGAAGGGAAGTCAAGCTTGTAGGGTCTGTATTTTAATTTTAACATGTTATCGCATAGGCGGAAAGATTTCAGCTTTGGAGCAGACACTTCAATTCCTGGTCCGGAATAATTTTTAATTTCCAGGTCCAGCAACTGTGGTGCTGATACTATCACGCGATGTAGAGCTCCGCAGTCAAGAAGCTTTAAGAAGTTCAAGCAAGCTGGGAGATTAGCTAAAGGGTCGGATGGAGAAGTATAAGAAGATTTCCACAGAGAACAGGAATCCAATTCCAGAGTGGTCAGCAACTTAAAACCCAAAGAGGAAAGTGCAGGACACTGTAGATGCAATCTTTTTAGCTTCAGAATCTTGAGTGATTCCTGATAATCACAAGCTCCGATGGAGGCAGCTAGGTCGCTGAATTTTGCCAAAGCTAGGTTAATGGACAAATGATGAAGCTGGCCACCATCGGCTCCAGCAGCGCATTTCATGACACGATCAAACACCTCTATATCACGGTTTCGGCAAAAATCTCTTCCAGACTCCAAGTCCCAGGTGATGCTCCCAACAGCCACCGAATCGGACCTGAGAGATAGAAACTTGTTCACGTGTTCAATGAAACTTGATTTTTTGCGGAAACACTTCCTGCAGAAATTGAGGGTAGGAACTGCTTTCCATAAACATCTCCACCTCCTTGATAGAAGGCTGGTCTGAGCTACGGTTTTCGTGTTGAGGAACGAGAGAATCAAATCGATAATGCTGTCTGGAAGATCGCTCAACCTATCGATTTGTTCTTCCATATCATGGCTCCTAACTTCGAGTTTCTTCTTGCGCCTCTTAGGGTTGCCTGCCATATCCACCTCCTCTCCTCCTACAGTTTACCATGATCCATGTTATTGCAGATAAGAAGTGTTCAAACAAAGCGAGACCATGGAACCTTAATCATCACCATCATAAATTATCACGTGGCAGAGAAAGACCCTTTACTGCAAATGTCAACAGCAGAAGGAGGAAATAGCTCAAACTAACTCACCTGCTGAGAGATAATCGATACCCAGTGCGTGGTGGAGGCGGAAATAGAGCAACGTCGTCGTTGAGGGATCCAACTGGTAGCGGCGGTGGGAGGGGGAGAAATCAAGGGCAAAAGAACAGAAAATAGTCCTCAAATAGTCAATGGGCAAGGGGGATATCGTATTTGACGTGGAATCAAAATCCGAGTCAGCACATGTCTTCTCTTTTCCTTACTGCCGAACTCTAGTTAATAGAGGAATAAGGTTTTGGAGTCGTATATATATATATATGCTGTATACGTAACTGAGCTTGAACTAGCTCAATTGCCGTTCCTAACTGATCACATCGAAATGGAGTCTGAGCCAAAGGCCACCGCCCTGCCGGCTGCTAGTTCCTATGAAGAAGAAATCATTCATCCCAAAAAAGCATCTGAAGTTGGACACAGTAGAGACATCAGTGTTTGACAAAATCAGTGGCATCATGGCCACCATGCATCCTTCCTAGTTCCTACCATCTTTGTGATCTGTTACTACTACACACTAATAGCTTGACACCACTTCATAACACTATGATTCATTACTTGATCTTCTCAAATTTAACAGACTTTTCTCCTGTACTAGAGGAGCTCTCAAAGAAATAACGGATCACTTCATATGGTAGGGTTGGTGGATCTTTTGGATACTGCACTCTTAATGTCTTCAATCTAGTAAAAGGAGAGGCTTCCGACGACTCGATTAACAGCTTCATTCTGCTGAAGGGGAGGAGGTGTTCGTTCCAAGCCATTCCACTCTCCAGCTAACAAGGAAATACAATTCAACAGGAAAACATCAAGGAATGCCTTTAACGTACTGCAGTAGAAGCCAACTGGTCTATAGATGGGTATCATATCGTACTTGAGACAATTACATCTACTCATTGGTAGAATCATGTCTTGCAAACAGCGGAAAGTTGGTACGACGTACCTTGTCAAAACGAAGGTTGAGAGACTCCACATTATGCAATTCACGCAACAAGTACATATATGCTCGACTGGCATCTTCCAATCTTGTATGGTCATCTTTCTTCCAATTATATGGGTATTTGCACCAGACGCAGATGCATGCATGATTTAGTGAAGGGCAGTTAAACTTGAAGGGCCTCATCTTTTAAGTCTAACATGTTATCCCATAGGCGGAAAGATTTGAGCTCTGGAGCACACACTTCAATTCCCCGAATGAAAAATGAACTTCTAATTTCCAGGTCCAGCAACTCAAGTGCTGATAGCTTCATGCGGTATGCTGACATGCAGTCAACAAGCTTTAAGTACTTCAAACAAGCTGGGAGATCGGTTACAGTTTCAAAAAGGCCAGATTAGGGAGCATTTGGCTCCGACAGACGACAGAAATCCAGTTCCAGAGTGGTCAGCAACTTAAACCCCAAAGAAGAGAGTGCATGACTGTATAGAACCAATCCCCTCAGCTTCAGAATCTTGAGTGACTCATGATGATCATAATCAGTTATGGGGGCAGCTATGTCGCTGAAATTGCCATGACTATGGTTAATGGACAAATGGTAAAGCTGGCTACCATGGGAGGCAGCAGCGTGTTGCATGAGATTATGAAACAGCTCTATACCAGCTCTTCGACAGTGATCTCTTCCAAAGTCGAAGGTGATGCTCCCAACAGTCACAGAATCAAATCTGAGAGATAGAAACTTGTTCACGTGTTCAGTGAAACTTGATTTTTTGCGGAAACACTTCCTAGAGAAATTGAGGCTAGGAACTGCTTTCCATAAACATCTCCACCTCCTTGATAAAATGCTGGTCTGAACTACGGATTTCGTGTCGAAGAACGAGAGAATGCGTTCGATAATGTTGTCTGGAAGATTGCTCAACCTGTCGATTTGTTCTTCCCCATCGTGGCTCCTTACTTCGAGTTTCTTCTTGCGCCTCTTAGAATTCCCTACCATATCCTCCTCCACCTACGGTTTACCATCACCCATATTGTTGTTGCAGACATGAAATGTTCAAACAAAGTGAGAGCATAGAACCTTAATTATCACCATCACAAAGAAAATTCTCTGCAGCAAATATCAACAACAGAAAGAGAAAATAGCAGCATGCAATGCATTTACATTAAAGCACGGAGAAGCAAATCCAGATGAAACAAAATGCCAAAACTAAATCTTACCTGTCGAGAGACAACCGATTTAAGGCTACCCAGTACAAAAAAAACCCTTCCTTTCAACAGCCACCAAAGGACTTGGTGTATGTTATACATACAACTACCCAGAAGACCAGGCTACGAGATGAAGTGATTCCAATCCAAGAACAGTCGCTTTTAGCAAAAGGGGAACAGTTGTTCAATATGTGTGTACCATCTACTGGCCCAAATGAAGGATCCAATCCATCCTACCTAGCTGCCGCAATCAGCCGCCATAGTGGGGAATGTTGTTCCAAACAAAAGTTTCTACTTCTTTGGGGCATTTCCTCATACAGTTGGTGACTGTCGCCGGGGACGAGTAAAGGATGCTTGAAGTCGGAGGCTGACAGCGCCGGTAAGGTTGAGGTAGTCTTCTTAGCAAGAGGTGTGAGTGGCGCAGCAGGAAATCGACCAGCGTCGCCGTCGAGGGATTGTAACGGCGGTGGGAGGGGAGAAGGATTGCACGCTGCGCGTGATAGGAAAGCGAGGGCAAAAGAACAGAGAGTGCGGACTACATGGACGCTGGCCGTGCTTGGACCGGCACCGCAAGAACACGCTTCAGCCCATTTATTTCGTGCCATGTCTATTCGTGCTTGTGTCGTGCTCATATTTGTGTTAACGAAAATGAACAAATTAAAAGAATGAATGAAAAGGAAGGAGAAAATTGGATGGAGAATGAAAGTATTAACTGAGAATGTTTGAGAAATGTAACAACAAAAGGGAAAAGAAAATTGGAAGTATAACGAGTGTGAAGTTACTTTGTTTAATTCTTCTTACGTATACATGTTTATTATCACTTCCAACGACAGTAAATAATTATTTTTGCTACTTATATTTTGCAATATTTAAACATATTGTTCTTTTTATATTTATTTTTTATCAAATTAATATTATTTTTGTGCTATGTTCGTTCTTATACTCAATAAGGTTCTAAAAATATTTGGCCCGACATGGCCCATTTACAAACCGTGTCGTGCCCGTACTCGTGTCTGTGCCCATAAAGTTTAGGCCCGGCACGGCCCGTAAAGAATTCATGCTCGTGCCGGAATGACCCATATATTTCGTGCCCGTACCCGACTCTAACCGCACTTTCATATCGAGTCGTTGGAAGCCAGGGAATTTCGTGAAAGTAACTAACAGCGCAGGAATTCCCAGACTTTCGCTTACAACGAGTGACCTAAGAACAACAACCAAAATGCAGACAGCATGCAACCTTGAACTCACTCTATTTTTTCCTCCACCTTAAACTCAGTAGACTTCTTTTCCTTGTTAGATGGGTTACCGAAGAAGTAACGCGACACCGAATCGGGCATGCGAACCGATCCTCTCGCGTTGAAGATCAACGTCTTCAATCGAGTAAAAGGAGAAACTTGGCCGTCGAACAGATCGTGATCCCTTTCAATCTCCTGAAAAAAACAACAATGAGGCAAAGCTTTTTATGGCTCCAACAGTTCAACAACCCTCGGTAAGGCAAAGGAACTTAATAAGATCCAGATTATTACCTTGACAGTATTCCAATGCAGTTCAAGTGTTCTTGTACTGTGCAAACCTCGGAACATGTTCATTAACCGCCGAGCAGCACCAAAGCAATCCCAGATATGTACATAAGCGCGATCAAGGGAAGGAAGATGCAACTCACCAATGTCCACTCCTGTATCTTCTCCTCCGTAGTACAATGACTCGAGATTCTGCGCGAATATTTCGATCTTGCGCATGTACCACAGCCCTTCTATCCTGAGATTCAGCAATTTGATCCCGGAGATTCTCAAGCAGACGGGACGATCCTCTATGCCATCTTCACCGTCACCCCTCCAGCTGCAATGCGCCAGTGATAGATCACGTAGATTGGGGAAATCGGAGAAGGGGTCGAGCCGGTCGATGCTGCCGGGGCAATACACCTTGCAGCCCTCCAGGTGCAGAGTCGCGAGCATTCTGAAAGCAGGGGAACCGAATCCCACTCCGTTAAAATAATGCCAGAGCTCTTCACCCTCAGAATTGGCGGCGCGCAAGGATCGAATCTCATGCAAGGCCGCGTAATCGAAGAGCTTCTGGTACATCAAGACAGACTCACCTAAAGAAAGATCAAAGGTGTCACTAATTTCCAAGCTCATTTCGTCGACTGGGGCGGAGTCGTAGCGGCGGGAGAGGATTTCGGAGGCGAACCTGTTGAAGCTATGGCCAGCTTTGTTGAAGGATTTGGAGTCCAAATTGAGGGCGGGGACGCCTTTCCAGACGGATCTCCACCGCCGGGAGAGAAGGCAAGTTTGGACGGCGAATTTCGAGTCGACGAAGGAGAGAATGCGGCGGAGGAGATGGTCGGGGAGTTCGCTGAGCCTATCCTTGATCTTCCGAGCTTTCTTTCTGCGTTTACATGTAGGCCAGTGGGAGCTGCCGCCGATCATCGTTCGTTTGCTTGCTTTCTCTTCCCCGCCGATGAGTTTCACAAAACCCTAATCGAAGCTTTCTCTCCGATCGTGTTTCAGGTACAAAATGGCGAGAGAAACAAACTTTCAGTGGTTCGGGAGGGAATTGGCTAGGAAGAACGGTACTGGGTATTTAGCCCACCTATTGTGTGGGCCGTTTTAAACGCAGGGAGCCCAAAAAAGATGATAAAGAAAGGGAGGGGAAAAAGCCCAAAAGAAAGCAGGAGAGACTAGAAAGTTAGCGAGCGTGTTTCTCTCCGCCGTCGGCAATTTCCAATTGTCAGTTGTCCCCTGCTCACCGCCGCTAGCTGCTCCACCGTCACCGTTGCTATCTCGCTCCGTCGCCACCCGCGCTGTTGCGGCTCTTCCTAGAGAGCGGGAAATAGAGAGAGAGAGAGTCTGGGATCGAAATTCTGATTGAACGCATTTTCTGCGACCATCGCCGGTTTCATCCTGGCCGCCATTTGTTTGTTGGCCGTAGCTCCTCCGGAAGAAGGAGGTTCAGGAGCAGAGGTGATTGCTTCTCGCTTCAACGGTCCTTTTCTGATTCCAATTGTTTGGCGTTTCATTAAGTTTATAAATCTCTTATCTTCACAGACACGGAAGACTTCATAGCTTGGTGGATTGTGCTTCTGGTTTGGGATTTTAAGTATGGGTCTTGTTTCAATGCTTGGTTAAGAGAATGTCAGGATTTGTACCGTTTGCTTTCTATTTTGTTTACATCCTCAATCAATAAACATGGTAGTTGATGGTCGATAACATAATTGGCAGGTCCTGCTTGCAGGTTCCATAGTAACGGTTCATCTGAGAAATGAAAGGAAGTGTGAGATTTATTTGCTGCTTTGATTTTTTAGGAACAGTGTGATATTCTTAGCCATCTGAAGTCTGAACAATCAAAGGAATTGTAGCATTCTTGACAATTTTTTGTCTTGTTTCAAGCTATGCTAGGACAATTTTGTTCGCCTAGTTTGTGATCTTCAGTATTTGGGGTGGCATTTATCTGTTGATATGGGGACGGGGTTGCGAGTTTTTCAACCTTGCGTTTTTTATGGGAGTGCACATATTGATCTATTTAACTTGGTTTTCTTAGTGAATCAATATGCGAGCTAGTCCAATCTGTATCAGTCGGACATTTAAGGCTTCTGGCTGGAGTTGGAGTACATGAGAGATAGAAGATGCTTAGTAGAATTCCCAATTGTTGCTTCTGTACTGCTGCAACAGCACATCCATGGCTCTTTGTGGGCCTAGGCAATCCTGGCGAGAAATTCAAAGAAACTCGTCACAATGTGCGTATCTAAGTGCATGCACCTTGGGCTTGGTGTCTGGATTCTTCCACTTATGTTTTGTTTTTGAAAATTAAGTAGTCATTTTTGTTTCTCACTGGAGCAGGTAGGATTTCAAATGATTGATGCATTCGCAGAGTCACAAGAACTTCCAATGAACAGAGTGCACTGCAAAGCTTTGTTTGGAGAAGGTTTGACGAACACTTCCCTTTTTGAGCCAGAAACATTGGGAAGAATCTTTTTTGCCTTGTTGAACTTAAGTCTTGGGTTGCATTGTTGTTAGCAGGTTATGTTTTGGAAGCACCTGTTTTACTTGCAAAGCCTCAAACTTATATGAACCTGAGTGGTGAATCTGTAAGTGGCTGAAACTGCAGTCTCTATGAATGAACTATTTTTCTTCTTTTTTCTGTGTCGTCGCCTCTGAAACCAACTGATTTATCCTCTGGCGCCCTCTTAATCTATTTCATATCAAATGAAGATATTAATCTATGTCTTATCAATTGCAGGTTGGACCTCTTGCAGCTTATTACAAACTTCCTCTTAACAGAGTTGTAGTGGTATTGTCGATGTCTACTTTTTTGTCAAAAATTTTACTCTATATATGAGGAACTTGATGTGGATATAGTTGCAGTTATATGATGACATGGACTTGCCTTGTGGGGTGCTTCGACTTCAACCAAAGGGAGGTCATTTTAGCCACAACGGGTATGGACTATGGAGTATGGACAACTGTAGTCTACTGTTGGCTTAATCATGGGAGAGGCATGGTCTACTAGATTTCTATAAGATATTTCTCATTGGTCATTTATGCTTTCATCCCTTCTATGTCTCATTATTTTATTGCTTGGGTAAATGCCACATTTGGTCACTAAGATTACTAAATTGTGTCATGTTTAGTCATTAGAAAAATTTAATATCAATTTTGGTCACTCGAATTACCGAAACTGGTTACATTTAGTCACTCTCCCGTTACTTTCCGTCCAACTTTATTAATGTAGTTGGACGGAAACTTTTGGGAGAGTGACTAAATGTGACATGTTTCAGTAATCCGAGTGACTAAAGTGACAAGTTTCAATAATTCGAGTAACCGAAGTTGGACAGAAGCTACAGGAGAGTGACCAAATGTGACCTGTTTCAGTAATTCGAGTGACCAAAATTGATATTAAATTTTTCTAGTGACTAAACATGACACGATTTAGTAATCTCAGTGACCAAAGATGGCATTTACCTTTTATGCTTGGTTCTTATCCGTTCTTTTTTAGTGTAGTTTGAAGAGTGTGATTTATCATTTCCGAGGCAACAGAGAATTTGCTCGGCTCAGAATAGGTTAGTGCGTCGCTTCATACCTTGCAGCTTTGATGCTCTCTCAATTCATGGTGTGTGAACTCTCAAAAAAATAAATCATGATGTGTGAATTTATGTCCCAGGAATTGGGAGACCCCCTGGTCAAATGGACCCGAAGGCTTTCTTGCTACAGAGGTTCAATGCCACAGCTCAAGGGCGAGTAAGTCTGCAAGTTCAGAAGCAAAATGTTTTCATTTCTTTCGTTTCGTCATTGGACTAGCCGTGTAGAACGATATTGGACATGAAGGATCAGCAATTAGTTGTGGCTTGATAGGGTCCTGAATTTTCTTGAAGAATAACAGCATAAAAAGATTAATTTTCAGTTTCCTTAACAACTTGTGTTACTTCTGTTGTTGTTCATAGATTGATGCAGCTTTGCCGGAAGGTGTCGCTGCATTGAAGTCGGTCTTATCAAAAGGCTTAACTGAGACCGCAAGATTGTTCAACCAACAACAAAAGTACAAGCACATTAGACTGCAAACCCTCCCGACATGACAAGCTCCTCCCCTTAGGAGCATTCAAAAGGACATGACAAGGGTTACTTCCTTGGTCTTCAAGAAATATCATGCTTTGATCTCCTAGACTGATTCATTAGTTTATCAGCACATAACCCTTGACGATCTGGCAGAAAGGCCAGAGGAATTGTGAATACCGAGGATAAAAATATGTTAACCCCATCTTATTCGATATTTGGGAAGGGTTCTTTTACCGCTCTGTATAAAAGGAACAACGTTGGTAAACAGCAGTGCTGAAGCTGTTCATTGGTTTAAGTTATACTTTGCCCCTGGTTAATTCTGGCTGCTACACTGCCTTCACTGGAATTTGTTCACTTGTGTGATTATGAAGGCTCGATTTGGTTATTTAATCTAGAGAAGACCATATTCAATCAATAAGCAGAGACCAACTTCACTGTCTAAGATAGAATGATACCAATACCATCTGTGTCACTCAATTAATTTGTACTTCATGAAAGAACAAAATCACATCTCTGATTTGCATTTTCATGGTGGCATTAACAAGCAGCCATTTTCCACTACCATTTATGAAACGAACGACAATCACTTTTCCCCCATTCTGCAACTTTAGACTGAGCATAAATGATAAATAGAAAGATCACTACTAGTCTACTATTTTAATCGTCTCCTCTCTCTGTCCCTGTCTCTGCTGCTGTTTCTGTTATCTCTGTCATGATCATCGCGTTCTTTGCTCCCACTATTCTCGCGCCGACTCCTCCTTTCGTTCTCTGCCTCGTGACCACCTCTATTATCCCTATCTCTGTCCGTCCTGTGGTGCCTTTCACGCTCTCGCTCCAACTCATTCTCTCTTCCTGAAGGCGGTCTCCGACGAGGGCTCATACTTTCACTTTGGCTCCTCTGTCGTTTTCTTGATGACAATTCGTTGTTGCTGGTACTGCCCTCCCGTCTCTCCCTCCTTTCCAAAGGTCCTTTCTCTGCTACAAAATTCCACATTTTGGATTTACTTCTCGTTATACAGATACAAATATTGCACAAGGAATCTAATTTTGCAACTACTTAACGACATAAGTCTGAATATTACTAGTGAGAAACTGAAACCAATGTGAACTCTGCTTATGAACAATTAAGCTTACTGTTCTCAGTTGCATCATTCCTACTCAACAGGCCATATTCAGCTTCCAGCCTCTTCCGTTGGATTGCTACCTTTCTCTCAATTTCCTCTGAACTCTTTGTTTCTCCTTCCTCGAGGGATTCACGATATTCTATCAAAGCAACCTCCAAACGCCTCAACTTCTGTCTGAGACATCGGAAAAGGAAATACTCTCCGTTAAACACACGGTATGATTGAATAACTTGAGGTCACAAATCTATATAGCATTATAACCGAACCAATGTAGAGGAAGTCAGAAAAACCATGTCAAATAACTAACCTCTGTTCTTCATTTATACCACTGTCAGGTTGTCCTGAAACGATTCCATCAATCGCAAACTCCACATCATCACCCCTGCCTGGATCATCACCCGCATTTTCACTTCCAGAAGATGAGTAACTTAACCCAATCCCCTTAGTAGAATTTCTCTTCTGTTCATCATCACTTGCATCATCATCATCACGAGCCCATTTAGATGCAGGTAAAATAGGATCTGTCTTATCTATCTTTGTGAAGGGTTTTAGGGAAGCAGATTGATGAATTACAAGTGTTGAACCCAAAGGTGTAGAGTCACTTCCAGAGAATCCCCCAGTGGGTTGAGGAGGGTCGATGAAACCAGTTTCTTTGTAACTGCCACTTGTTGTAACCCTACTACCAGTCCCAGAGGTTGAAAACTGACTTTTTTTAGATAACTTCAAGTCATCGTCCAACTCATAACCCCTCTGCCTTTCTGCCTCTTCCAAGGTCAGTAATCGTGCAACCATAATCTCTCTACCACCAACAAGTGATAAGCCATTATGTCTGCAACGCCTTTCCAGCTCAGCAAGTGGAAGACTCATCAACTCCCTTGTTGCTGCTCCTTTCCCAATTGCCAGTGCAGCATCTTGGTTGGTGTCCTTGGACCCATTACCACCAGCTTCATCTGAGCCACCACTCTTCTTCTCTATTTCTGGAGCATCACCACATAATGAATGGAAAGAGACCACACCAGAGTTCCTGGAGCGAAGGAATGTTGCTCGAAGTCCATTGACATATGCATCAGAGAACAGGAACCAATCAGACCATACTTGTAAGACTTTAAGGACTCGCTCCTGTGGAACAAAAGAAACAATCCATGATGAAAAACATGTTCTATTCAAGGGGTGAACCACAAGATGTTGAGCAAGTCTTAGACCATACCTTGAGGGCTTCAGCGGTGATCCTTCCAGTTATGCTGCAGTACAAGTCATTAAAGCTCTCCATTATATCAGGGAGACTAGCTTCAAACTTGGTTCGGTATGCAGAAGCATTCTTTACAGGAGCACTACTATTGTGAAGGACGTCAGATACAAGCATGAGTCTTGCAACTTTAGTAGGAATAGGAGTTTCCTTGAGGGTCAATGATTCTGTCAGGACCTCCACTATCTGCAGAAAGGATTTATCAATTAAGATACATAGGCTTCCCAACAGTATTCAGATCAGCAAACTGCAAATCCTTCAGAGGTAGTTCCTTCCAGTATTAGCTAGTATAACGATAAACTCAGTCATTTGCGGAGTAGGCAATTCCAACACATGAAACCTACGCACTAAAACATATTTGCAATGCATTTTAAACTGAATGATTAAATGAGGACCTCTCCAGCAGCATCAGCATTGTCCAAGGCAAAACCCATGGCATCCTTTATCTGACTTCTTTCTAGTGTCAAAGCACGTAGCCTATCCTCAAATTCATCCCTCTGTGGATCAGTAAGGGTTCGTTCTGGATCAAGCCGCTGTGCAAATGGATAAACAGTTAAAAAATAATAGCTAGTCACTGACAGACAGTCGAACATTGCTCCAGAAAGAATGCAAGTATACATACCCTGCTTTTCCCTGCAGCATAGGTAGTGCCAGCATCCTTTTCATGCTCTGGACTTTTAATAGTTGGCAGCGGTGGTGGTATCCATCTAGAAAGTGGGATATTAAAAAAATTAACCACAGGTATAAATGAAGCACCTAAGCAAATCTTGAGAAGTAACTGAATCACTGAATGCGCAAAAAAAAATTACCTTCCACTGCCAGTTATCATGATAAAGGGCTCTGTTCTCCACCGTTGAAGAGTGTCGCCCTGTGGAGGCCAGGAAAATCAATACCCAAACAGATTGGAAAATAACTCTTTGCACAATGTATATTCTATGGCAGTAATAATAAGAGTATATAACCAGCTTTCAATATCAATCTCATTGTAATGTGACATCTATCTCCAGGAGTTTGTATGACCAAGTACCTGGGCAAATGAATAAAGCCGCCAGACATAGTATGTGTGCTCCTTTGAGCCAAGCTCGAAGAGGAAATTGAATAGGGAATTCCCACGACCCCTTTCCATGATAGCTTGTTCAAAAGCACATCCTCCATCTAGCACATTTAGAGCCATTGTATCAATCACATGATGCAGGTGACCATCATCAGGTGGAACAACTGTTATATCAGGAACATTTGGAGTAAGGACCTGCATACAAGAATAAGATTATCAAATAAAATCTTCAAAAAGTTTAAGTGGCTTATCAAATGAAAGAGATTCAATGTTTCAACCAAGCCAACAATGTCACATACAAAATAACAAAACCAACCCAGCATCACCAAAATGAAGTGGCTTCTGATGTAAAAGCACTAAGTATCCAAACAAGAACCACACAACAAGATAGGAAGATCAAATGCCCCAAGATTTGTACCTTATCAAGAGATCAAAAGCATAAACGACAAAGTAGCACCAAGCAAACTTCACCGAACTTACCAGTTCAGAGTTCTGATTTGGAACGGAGGAAACAGGTGCACCAGACGGACCAGATGGACCAGAGAGAATAACAGTGGCACCCTGCAAGACAGAAAATTTCACATCAAAGATCAAATCATCTTCGGGAAAGGAAAGAAAAGGAAAGTACAGCAATCAATGAATACACTCACCCCTGCCAAAATGAAGAAAATGTCTATTTGAAGAAATGGAACATCAATAGACCACCATTTACAAGAGGATGTTTCGAAACAGTAATCATATATACATTGCCAGACATAACATGCAGTAAAATGTCCACATGATTCTCACACATCTCAAGAATGCCTAGTTTAATTATAAAGAATAGGAAGTAGCATATCTCCTAAGAAGTACGAACAGACCTCCTTGCTCCTGATGGCCATGTGACCTGGAGGAGGAGCAGGCAGAGCCTGAGAAGGAAGAGCCACAGATTTACCCCATCCAATTTTAACCTCATACTCGTAAACGACTACTCCTGCACATAGAAACAATTCCATGAGAAGATTGATATATTATAGAATGCATTAAGATTCGATCTTCATAAAAATAAATTTGCAAATAAAGATTCACTAGAAAACTGTTGGTACTTGAATAACACATCACAGACAATTTGATCTTGGACTCAGGATGAAGATATTCACCATAATCTGAAGTGCATACTACTTCATTCTAACTCTTGTACAATGAATGGATTGCAGGAATAGGTGCGTCTATATCCACATATGTAAGACCTCGGTAGAATGGATCTAGAGCAACAACTGATAGGGTTTAGTACAAAACAAATAAACTAGTCTCTGTCGATCGAGAATCTATCCTAAACAGTGATCATTTCTCAGGACCAGTTATTCTATAGATAAATGCTCAACAGTTCAGATAAGACCTTTGTATGCACATACATGAAAGAACTAGCCCCATGATGTTAGAAGCATTTGCGAGATGAATTCCAGAACCAAAAACCATCATCTCAACCCTCTAAATACTTTTGTAATGAACCAGCTGATATGTAGACAAAATATGCATACAAAACATACAACACGTGACTTGATAAATGTTTTGCTTCAATCCGTTCTGATATAGATAAAGAAGGCTCCAGATATATTTAACTCTCGTCCCAAGGTCCCAACACACATTTCCCATAGCCGACATCGAGTATATCAGCAACTACAATAAACGTTGACCTTAGGACCTTGTCGAGAAGAATTGAAGTTAAGAGATAAACCTTGCATTTCATCTTTCGCTGCTTGCGCATCAGCTCTGTTCATGAATGCTACAAATCCACAATTTCTTTGTCGCCTGCGCTCCTCATCTGTTCTAGGCCACATTATCTTTACACTAGCAATAGGCCCAAATCTTCCAAAAGTGCGCAATAGAAAATTTTCATCAACCTAGATTTATGCACGCAACATAGTATTAGTAATCCTATTGTTAATAAACCAGATGCTGATAGTAACACCCCAAGCAATTCAGCAGAAAAATCACCTGAGGCGCAAGATTCCCCACATAAAGATTCGTTGTTTGTGGATCACCATCATCAAACGATCCTGGAAGCCTTCCATCAAAGTCATCAGGAAGCTCATCGAACCGACTACTAGATGACTAGAATACAGCAACATTAATACTTGTGCAGATATTTCTGAAAGCAATGCAGGATGCAAGGAGCACCGATATGACTTTCTCCTACTGGAAAAACAAGTAAAAGGGAAATACTTACTAGAGAAATCTCACTAGGATGTCCATCACGCCAACGCTCACGTTCCTGATTCCTTTTCTCCCTCAATTCATGTTCATGCTTCAGCTCTTCCATAAAATGATCAATATTTCTGGTCTTCCCTTTTTCCCTGTCCTTTGACCTCTCCTCCTCCCTCTGTCACATATATGAAACATTTAGAGACATACAGAAAAACAAGGAATCAACATATATATCGTCATGTTTTAGATACAGACCTTTTTCTCAGATTCCTTTCCCTTGGATGCCATGGGAGGTGGTAAAAAGGATGGGACATACCTGCAGAGGTGATATGAAGGATAAACTTCAAAGCTATAGGACACATACGAACGTGCCCGGGTAGACTTAGTACATGTCAGTATGTCAAATGATATGCTCATGCTGAACTTTATGTTGAGTGTGGACTTATTATTCCCTTAGATGTCAAATCTTGACAGACACAATAATACCCTTGAAGATGCACAGGTGAAATTTCAAGTGTGCATAGTATTGACTCAACTACCCAAGTAAGACCTGCTGCACACGATATGACTGACAAGGACAAACGGACTGTCACAATCATGTAACAAAAGAAGGCAACGTGTCATCCTTAAGTCAAGTATTGATTACATTATACAAATCAACGAAACCTAGACGATTAGAATCACTGAGTGCAAAGATTCAGAAGCCATCAAATCCTTAGTTTATACATCCTAAAGACTAGCTACATGAATAATCCAATCACTGCACAGAGCTCTAGCATAATTCTCTTCCAATAGCACCTCAACATGGTTGAGCAATCAAAAGCATCAATTTACCTACTTCCCTTCTTTGGAACAGATACCCCATCTTTGGACTTTTCACCTGCCATCCGGGAATGAATAAAAAAGGCCCATACTTTTATTAATGTGGTCCCATAACAAAAGAAAAAGATTTCATGCATCCATATTGTCAAATGGGCATAGACGGGACATAACAATGGAAATAAACTTCTACAAAGGACAGAGAACTATTACAGACTAACCTTGAGATTCATCCTTCACTTTGTCGTTGGGATTGATCAGACCACCCCTGACAAAAGTCTTTGAGCCAGGAGCTGTATCCCCTTGGAATGACTCCACGAACTCTGCATATAATCGAGCCGTTTCATCCTCAGCCCTCTGTGCAAAGTAAGAAGAGATGGAAAATACAACAACTCAGTCATGAATGTAGCTTGAATTTTTACTTGAACAGAAAGCAAACCTGCCCAAGCTTAGACAAAACAACGAACACATACCTTTTTCTTTGCCTCCTCTTCCTCTCTATGTTTCTGGAAGGGGGTCTTCTTGCGTGTAATGGAGAAGGAACTCATCTTTCATGAACTCTCTAATTGACAATTTCAAAGAAGTCATCAAAATCAAATATTCCAAAAGCCACAGACACTCCAAAAACATGCAAAATATACACTAAACCTCAATAACTCATAAAATTACTACAACACCAACAGCCAGAATCAACAGACTTAGCCACCTCAAGAGATGATGACGAAATCACTTTGTACTTAGAGAAGAATACAATCAAAAGCATAGACATTGGGTCCGGCGACTTGCTCTTTCTTCTTGAAAAAAAACAACTTTTTTAAGGACGGCGTGGAGCATAGTCAAAACACATGTCTCTGAATCAATTCTCCTCCTTTTTCTTCCCCAAGAGTTTAGTCGGAGGCTAAGGAAAAAGCCTATCTCTTCTGAAGTTTGCACTGCCTAGTCCTTCCAAGTCGGTATATACCATAGAACTTCCAACAACAAAAACCCAGAAGCAAAGAAACAACAGGTGGAAAGGCAGACACCAAAATGCGATCAAAAGTTCAAAACCCGGAACGACATGCGAACCAGGGCAGACCTAGATTACACAAAGAAAACCAATGGGGGCGTACCCCTAAACTAAAATGAATCCAAACCCAATGCAACACGAGAAGAAAACCTAGACTCAGGATACAAAACCATAGGGTTCATAATGAATGGAGTCGAGCGAGCAGAAGAATAAGAAAAAAAGACCTTGGATGGGAGCAGCTACAGAAGAATTCGTCCCCCTTGGGCTGCAAATGCAATCGAGCAGCAGCAGTTACAGAACTCGAGAGGCGGTAGTATCAGTGAAGACCGTGCTGCAGATGAGGTAAGGAGCAGCTGCAATGAAGTTATTAATGAACCGTCGCTGCTACGAGAAATTAGGTGTAGGAGTGCCAGACGAATAACGAAGCCGGTGAATTCGGAGGTTGCCGCCGGCGACCGTGAAGAGGAATAGGAAGGAAGTTGCAGAAGAGGATACAGGCAGGCAGGCCCCCCGGACTGGAGGACGAATTTCGTATGGCGGCCGTCGATACTCGCTAGTCGCTAATCAATCTGGGTCGAGACTCGAGGCTTTCTCTTCTCTTTTTTCTTCTTTTTTTCACATGGGCTTTTATTGTCTTAAATTAATTAATGAATCCGTGGCATTTTTTATTTTCAGTTCCAAACTTCCGATACGTACTCCATTCGTCACTTTATTCCCAACAATTTGTGCATATACATAGATGTTATATCATGTTAGTGTAACATTTTTCGTGTCACCGAAGACAATATTATTTTCTAACAAGGAAAAAAGTAAAATTACATAGTTCAATCTAACTTCTCCTCGTACGTCAAAGAGGACCTCAGTCAAGAATTTCACTTGTTGATATAAGTTTTTTGAGCATTTTCACAAACATTAACTCGAGCAACAAAATGGTCATGTGACCATCTGAATGCCTCTCGTTGTGTCGACCCCTACAATCCTCGCTGCATCGCGCCTCTATCGTGGAGGTCGTAGTTTTCCGGTTGTCCTGAACAAAGGGAAACGATGTGGGTTGTCGATGTTGCTACCCACCATTCGTGCCCTTTGTGCGGCAACCTGGCACGCAAGGACCTAGATTGCTATAATGACAGGGAGATGTCCTGCAAACTACAAGCAATTCAATCCAACAGCATACACATTTCCTCAACTAACAAAGGCAGGGGAGCCAATCAACAGTCAATGCAGAAGCAGCCATCAAAACTCCACACCTGCACCTGCGTGGTACTTCTTTCGGCCGTCTCGAGAGAAAATAGCAAGCATCTATTAGGTCATAACTAGCAACACAGCATCATCACAAATACAATGACAGCAACATCTGCAGAGGGGAACTGCCAAATGTGTCTAAATCAATTCTATATGCACATTGAGAGGTCACAGCCAGGGTTTTACAGTCAGGGAAAGCATTGGTAGGAATACAATTCTCGAACGCTAAGAACGCAACTTTTTTTAGTTTGTGGCGAAGTGCAGAGAATTATACACTCAATGTACACTTTGGAAACTCGTTGCTAAGAAGTTGAACCTATAGCAGATTGCATAAAAAATAATATCACCAGTAGACAAACGATGCAGCAGAGTACGTCCGCACTCAATGTGCCAACTTCTTGAGGTGTTGAAATGTCTTCTGCTTGATCCACTGCCTGTCGTAGGGTAGATAAGCCTGAATTGTGTGATCGTAGCTGCAACAACAGAAATTAAAAACACTCCAATGAGCCAATCACAATGGGTGCGCACAACTTAAGATGGTAAGCGCAGAAACACTTAGCTTGGGAAATTTTCTCAGAGTGAGCAGTCCAGAGCGGCTTTTAAATTCAGGGAAGTATGATGTGCATTAAAGTAAGGAAGCATACATACGATGCATGAATTTAAGGTGGAGAATCAGATACTTGGTTCACTCCATTCCCAAAGAACTACAACCTTTAAAGCTTCTTCTTATATCAGCTAAAAATGGAAAAGAAACAGAAAAATACACCATTTGGATGTGTTTATACTAGTCTTGAGTCTTGACAACTAAAAATTGACATAGAATGCAAATATGTAATACTTTTGAAGTAAGAACAGGAAACTCTGCACACGCAAATACTAATGGGGGAAGAAAAAAGGAGACAAGAGTAGGAGAAAGTACACTAATGCGCTCAAGTCTGCAAGGCCATCAATAAAATTGTAGAGATCCGCAATGTCATAGCTGAGGTTTCTCAAAGCTGGATTGATTTCTTTAAGCTTTCTTTCATATAGTCCACAAATGCCTGCAATTTCAAGAAAGAGCCCAACAAAGAGATAAGAGAAGGAAAATGATGCCTATTCCACCAATAGGGAACAGTAACAGATAGCTGACTCCGTCGTAACAAAATGAAAATTTATTATAGCCAACCAAGAAACCCTTGGCTATGAGTCAGAAGAGGGGAAAATTGGAAATTAGGAAGTATCGTATGTACAGCACTGCTTGCAAAGGGGTCACCAAACACAACTCAACAGTTTCCACTGAAAATCCTTAACAGCTTTTACAGTGACAGCCGGAGAACGAGATCAACTAAAAGCGACGGCAATAACAATTGGACCAATTTAGTGCAAAAGAAATCAACTAAAATGCAGAAACCACAAAGAAAGGCAGGCAGCATACCCTCCATGGCCTGAGTAATAGACCCGAAATCCATAAAAGTTCTGGATGCTCTATTATGAGAGGCCTGCATCAGAATTATGGTGTGCCTATTTGCCTGCATTAAGAAACATTTGAAGTGCAAAATTGTCAAGAGAATTGGATCAGCAACACATAGCATCCACTCCACCAAAACCAAAGCAAAGCAAATTGTACAATCAAAATCTGAGCCCCATGCTAAGTAAACAGAGACACTCATCAATCATAACCCTAATTGAGAAAAATCGCAGCCTCAACCTTCCCATAAAACTGAGGGAAAAGAGAAAGAGGGATTAAGCTAAAAAATTCCACACGGGACTTGCAGCCCCCGGCCACTTAACAGAGGAACGTTTATCCATCACAACAAAGTGGGAGTTCAGCTGATGAATCAGGCAAAATTGTCGAGGGATGACAGAGGGGAAGCGAAACCCTAGCCTTTTCCCGCGATTTGAGAGAAGGGCGGGGATATGTAACATTTATGAATTGACCCGATAAGTGGGAAACGATCAAAATGATTAAGATACCATGGGGAACGCGAAGTTGACGATTTCCCGGCGTGATGTGGTAGCGGCGGCGGGGAGTCGAGCTTGGATCGCCGAAGGGTTTCAATGGTGGAGGAGCGTCGTGCTTCCTGTAGTTGTCCTTGCTGCTGCTTCTCGAGAACCGGTGTTCAAAAGTCGGTCTAATTATCCGGTTCAATTGGATTGGTCCGGTTCGAACTACACTGGTTTTCTAGCTAATATAGCTTCTTTTTATTGATGTTTTTCCCTGCTTATCTCAACTGAAGTCAGAAAGAAATGTTATGGAGTCCCATCTGCATCTGATAGCAATTCAACTGAATCTTTCTGACAATTCGATGTCAAGCTAATAAGAACAAAGGAAAGAGAGAGGGAAAAGAGAGGTTATGTTATGGAAAGTCACCGAATCTCAATGTGAAATTAAGCGAGTTTAGATTTAAAGTCGATAATTTCTTAATTTGGAAAAAGTACGGATTACAGGTTCTCTATATGAAAAAGAAGAATTTACCAAGCAAACATTTAGTATAAGTCTTAAATTGCTCGTCAAGAACGCCTAAACTTTTTCACCGATCTTCTTTAAGACAATTCTAGTAGGGAAGGCAACAAAATCCGAACCCACGGGTACCCGACCCACCCCGGTTTAAAACCCGTGTTGACGGGTTTGGGTTTAAAACCCGATCACTATTCATCGGGTTGGGTTTGGGTTTAGGTAAACCCGCCCCATGGGTACCCGCCCACACCCATATAATTAATTTTTTCTAGTATATTTAATTTTCTAAACAACTAATCTTCTTTATGTTTGTGAAGACATGTATAATTTTTTTCTTTCTAATTGTGTAAAATGAAGTTGATATTATCGAGTGGAGAGTGAAGAAGCTTAATTGACAAAAAGGAAGAAACTTTCAATTAATCATATTGTTTATCAATAATTTGAGATTTGCTTCAATTTTCTTGAGTTTTATAGATCGGTGTTAAACAATTTGCATGGTTAATTTGTGATTTGCTTGATTTTTTTAGGATGATGTTTTATATATGGATAAATTGTATCAAGGGATTTGACTTTTATTTTGATAGGAACTTATTATTGTAAATTTTTTACGACAAAAACTCATGGGTACCCAGTATATTTTACCCCGAATTTTTTTCACGGATAAACCCATGAGTTTGAGTTTGGCAAAACCTACTCAACCCATTGTCATCCCTAAACTCTAGTCTATCCAAGAACTCTGTATCTCTTGTCCAGCACACCAACATCTCGTTAGAGAGAATCTACGACAAGAAATGGTGACAGTTAAAAAAGTAGTGCAAGTTGCAACGAACTTTTTGAAAGCCTCCAAAATGAGCATCATCAACTTATAACGAACTTGTCAAAACAAAAACCTAACAACATATTTACAAGCACATACACAAGCTAGCTTCATGTTTTGATTAGTGACAAGAAACAGGAGTACGCCAAACACAAAATCTTCCACCGGCACGAAACAGTAACAGTCTAGAGTGAAAAGGGGGCAGAAGAGAAGGAACCACTATTATTATCCAAATGGTATCTGCCTGATGCTGCTGCTGCTGTTGTAGAACACCATACAATATTAGATGTAATCAAAGCCGCGCCCAGGCTGCTCAATGTCTGGATCCATGCCCCTTCCAGGCCTCGCTGGACCTCTGCATCATTATACACCAGTGTCAATTCCTTTCTCTGAATGTGAAAAGCTTCCGTATAGCATTATCGCACGAACACAAAACCAAGGAGGGGTCTAACTACCAAGCAATTACACTAGACGTTCTGTATTTGATATCGATTTTACTACTAACTCAGTAGCAAATGGCAGGCAGACCAGTATGTGATATCATCACTAAACTCATCTTCCATAGCATCTTTAGAAAAAATAACATGATGCAGACATTCTGGATAGGCTAATGGCGGGGCATTTGAAGAATCCATGCAGCATGGGAGTATCACCCCTCAACCGAGTGGAAGGACTTGACGAGAGTCTAATTTGCACGGTATTATGATAAACCATAATTGACTACTTAACAGCAGCACAATTCCGATGGGGATAAACATAATAAGCGTACAAAGTTCAGAGAGAGAGAGACATCAAGACACAAACCTATTAAACCGGTTTGGTTCGAAACCTGGAATTCCAGGAGGGCCATAAGGATCAAAACGGACGCCAGGAAGAGCACCCCTGCAGATAAATTAGTCAATCATCAGTTCCGTGTACAATAGTTGTACCATGGGGAGAGAGATGGAATGGAAAAGGGCGTGTGTGAGAGAGTGAGAGCTCACGGTTGTACTCCAGGGAGACCAAGCCCTCCGTTATCCCCACCATACCATCTAGGGTTATTAGGCCCTAGAAGCATGCCGCCATCGCCACCAAAACCACCCCTTTGTCCGAATACAAAAATCAGAGGTGAGTTTTGAATCTAAGTTACTAAATAGATAGGCAGCACGTAGACATCACTAAAATCAACCATGTAATACCTTCCAGGGTATATTCCAGCACCAGGCCCAGGAACAAGATCATCCATGCCAAAGGGAGGAACACGAGGGCCTAAGACTCTACGGAGAAAAAATGCAAGGTATTAGCCTATTTGCCATTCCTAGAACTGAATTACAGTCCTGCCATAGCAAGGTGAACAAGCTAATGAAAGATGAAGAGGAAAGATCAACTCATCGACTCCACCACCATAAAAGCTAAAACAAAAACTCACCAGATTCACAAATGACAAAATTATTTCAACTGACAACTAAAAAGCAGGTCTACAAAAGAAATATACCCGGAAGGATAAATATTAGGGGTAGGGTCGGGCCACGCAGTGCGTGGTTCACTTTTGAAACGCCCTCCTGAATCACTTGTTTGACTGCAAAGGGACGTTCCATCCCAGCAAGAAGAGCAAACCAAAGTAGACCAATAAGCAGATTAGAGGACATATTCTATATTTTAGCAAATCATCAAGCAACAACTCTAAACACCTAAATAGATAAAGAGTTAGAAAAGCGTTCAACTGCACAACGGGTAAATGAACAAAACTCACGTCCATGGTAGCCATTCAGTTAAATAAATCCAAAAGACAGAAACAAGCAAAAGAAAAGAGACATTATCCTGCAGTTCCCTTTCCGCTCCCAAATCTAATCTCGAAAGATGCAGCTCCATTCACAAAACCACAATGCACACAGCTACTCTACAACATCAATAAAAAAATACCTTTGTGATTCACTTGACGAGCCAGTATGGGAAGAGCCACCCAATTTAGACAAGAGCTCGGTGTTGATACTGGAAATCAGCTTATCTAACTTCTTGAACTGCTGAGAGTAATTCGAGGCCCCATTCTCGCCAACATAGTCGTTAACACTAAGCACAATCACCAACAGGGTCTCAATTCACAATCTGAATAAACTAGCTTAACTCAAAGAAAAGACAACACATATCAAACGAAGACCAAACCTAATTTCCATATGAACAGGGTCTGCCCCAGAATTGGAACCCGCATCCACAAGCAAAGCACTAACCACCAGGTTGTCGTTCATCGTCAAACATTTAACCAAAACCCTCTTTCCTAAGTTCTCAGGGTTCACATACACGAAGCCGTACTCTTCATCAACATCGTTCCAGTGGTCGATCCCAACCTCGTCTAAAACCCACACACACAAAACCATTCAATTGCATTTCACAGGGGGGAAATCAGAAGGGGATCGCAGTGGTGCAAATTCTAGCCAGATTGTAAGTACCTGCGGAGGTAGAAGAGAGAGCGGATTCCGACAAGGCGGGAATCCCCGTCGCGGTGAGCAAGTAGCCGGCGGCGTGGAAGGAAGCGTGAACTACGAATGCTGCCTTGTCGTGATTGTTCCTAAACGCCGGCCTCGCTGCCCTGATCACTCCCACCACCGACTTTTCGGTAGCCATACTTGGTGTTTGCTGTAATTGATCGATTCGGCTTCCGGTGTGGAACTTTGGAGAGCGATGAGAGATGAGTGTTCAAAAATCAAAACTTCGAAGAGGCTTTCGAGAGAGTGCAAGGAAAGAGTATTTACTATTTATACACCAAAGCCTCTCTCTTCCCTCTTGTAAAACTGACCGGTTCGTTCGTCGTTGTTTTAATGGGCTGATCCGGTCATGTAAGTAAACTTCCATTCACGGGTCGGGTTTCTGGCCGGGTCGGTTTAACTATCTTGAGTTCGAAATTTCATGTGTATGCTTTTTAAATTAATTATGCATGAATATTTTTATTTGAATTATGATTAGAATTGAATAATTTTATTTGTTTATCAAGGTTGTCAATCCGGTTTATACTATTATGTCAGTTTGGTAAGTTGTATGGTTCAATCATTGTACAATTGCTTTATGCCGATTCATGCCGGTTTGGCAAGTGGTATGTGGTATCAAATTCATTATTATTGAACATATTCCAACTAGACAAGTTATTGTGACACATTGATTTTTGAAATAATATTAGAGCATTCTCTAATCAAAAGGTCTTTTGTTTCGAAACCTGACGATCTGCTGTGCTACCTCATATGTACTACAACATCCGAGTGTCATATTTGAGTTTTGTACAACATTTTGTATTTTGGTTCAACATACCTTAATGATAGACTAGCTATAGTTTTTTTTTTTTTTTTACAAAGTGATCTTTATTGCACTTTGAATAATTGGTTACAGAGAGAAAATAAAAAACTTGACTTCAACACAAGATCAAGGAAACAATGGAGCCCAGGATGATACCAAACCATGCTAAGAAAATACAAACAGTGGAAGCACAGCACATAATGACATCACTCAAAACAAACAACCAAGTTCTTGAGACAAAGGCAGAGCATTTATAATCCCTCTTTCTTCCAACCAAACCAAGAGCAAGAAGATCAGAACAGCTTGTCCGATCACAGCGAGATCCATGACATTGGACTTGCAAGCCATTTGCCGTCTCCTGGGGAGTGCACAAAGTCATCCATCACAGTGAATCTCAAAAGAGATTGTCTGACGGTGGAAGAGGCTGTGAAGCAGATTGCTCCAAGTTGTGAAGGCAGAGGGGGCCAAGGTAGAGAGGATCGGTTCAAAGGGGAGCAAGCTTCCAAGTAGATCAACAGACCACCACAAAAGAACTGACTTCCATCGCAGCGCACCGGAGATGACTCACCTCTTCACGATCCGACAACCATCCAAGCAACAACACCACCTTGGGGAAGCCAGAGGGGGGAAGATGAGAATGGCTTCAGATGAGACCACCAACCTGGAAAGAACAACCATCACAAAGCAAAGGTCAAGCTTCCCAAGCTACAACCTCCAGATCCTCAAACGAGCAAGCCTTGAAACCGCAAAATCCTAGATCTGGAATGCCAAAATGGCTGGAGAGACTGAAATCATGAAGATGAAAAGCCTAGAAGCAAAGGCCAGAAGATCGAAAACAAGGCAAGCAAGAAAAGCGATAAAAAAAGAGAAACTTGGGCTGCCGCCAGTCACCTGAAGTAGCCGGCGGCAGCCATGGAAGGCTGGAAAAGGAGGCTTTTTAGAGAGAAGGGAGAGTAAATTTGAAAAAGGTAAAGTTAGAGAGAGGTTACGACTGCTCCATGGTGCTTTTATAAACTAGCTATAGTTACTACCAATAAAAAGTATATTTGTACCGTCATCATCAATGTAGTCAAAATCATTTTTGGAAGGTTAAAAGCTTATGTTGTTACGCTTCTAGGTCACTTAAAATGCGTTTATTTAGAATCGCATTTTTGATTGCGTGTTGTGTAATAATGTAATCAAAATCACACTTAATTGAAAAGTTAAAAGTTTACGTTTTTACGAATCACCAAAACACTTATACGTAGAACGTAGAATCAAAATTTTAACTACATTGATCCTCACTCATTTTAACTACATTGATCCTCACTCATCCTTTAGTCAACTAAGATTGTAATAACGTTGTTCTTTCACCCTTATCTCCACCTTCCATACCCACAAGCAAAACCCCACCATCTCCATCCCCTAGCTCTCTACAACCATCACTCACTACTCCCAAAACACCATCAGGAACCAACTCATCCCCCAAACCCCGGTTCGGTACAAGAAAAACCAAACCCAATGTCCCCAACCGCAACCCATTCCTCAACAGAACCACCGCCCACAGGTTCCCGAACTCGGTTCGGGTCACCCCAAACCAGTGAAGCATCAACCCTCCTCCCCACTTGGACGACAGCGACCCCAAGCTGTCGATGCACATCAGCAGCGCGAAGAACGTGCCCTCGATCCCCGACGGGCACAACCTCGTGCTCAGCACGATCATCGGGGTCCACCGGACCCTCGAGACCACCCTCGACACGCACTCCTCTGCCATCACGAACAACGAGTCCGGGATGCCCAGCCAGAGGTTCCACCGCAGGATGAACACCACGTCGAGCATTCCAGAGAGTGCGTAGAGGAGCTGGGCCGAGAACAGGAGGGTGCGGAAGGGGATGTCTTTCAGGGCTTTCTGGTAGATGACCACTCCGACGATGGAGGCCAGGGCTCCCACGGCATAGACCATGCCTATGAAGGATTGGGAGAAGGCCGGACCGGGTGGACCGGGGTTAGGGTTCGGGTTAGGATTGGGGTGGGTGTACCAGTAGAACTGGCCTTCGTGGGTGCTGATGCTGAGGGCTAATGAGAGGTACATGTAGAGGGATGGCTTCCATACTTGTGGGCATTGGATTGTTCTCCATGTCCCTTTTACTGCCACTCCTAGGTCTTCAACTACCTGGTTATGAAAATACTTGTTACAACGGTTGAAACTATGGAACAAAAGCTGACTATTTCTTTGTATGTCCAAAAACAATAGTGACTAATTTGTCAATGATTTAAAGTTCAATCATTGATTCGTAAGAACACACAATTTTTCCCATACCTTGATGCTGGTGTTTCCCTTCTCGTCATTCTGACCACCAGGAGACCGTTTTACTTCATAGATGACGAATCCTAACACCGCCACCAGAGCAGGCGGCATCGCCAGAAGAACCAGAGCCAGCTACAAGCAGGCAACCTTCATCACATTAATGGCGGGCGACAGAGCATTTTTAAACTTCTCCCCAATCTCTCAACTACCCAAATCACAAAACCGAAACCGTTGGACTTTCCAATTTCTTACAACCATACCTGAGGCCCAAGTCGATGAACAAACAACCCACTCGTCGAGAACCCAATCAAAGCGCCAACAGAGGAGCAAAACCCGCACAGGCTCTGCATATCGGCAGCCAAACCCTTAATTTCGATGCTGCTCTTCGCAATACACGCATCGATCGTCACATCGGCGATCGCCATTCCGGCCGTGACGCCCACCAGGCAAGTCAGCGCCGCCGCCACGGGCAATTCCCCCACCAGCGCCACCGCCAGAGCGGAAGCAGATCCCAATACCCCCGCCGCCACGAAGTACGGCCGCCGCCTGTACCCGGCGACGGGGAAAACGTCGGTGAGGAGGCCCCAGAGGGGTTTCATGACCCAGGGGATGTAGTAGAAGCCCATGTAGATCTGGACCGTTGAGGGTTGCAGCTTCTGGACGTCTTTCCAGTAGTAGTCGGTGACGACCCTGAAGAAGGAGCCGGAGAAGCCCTGGCTGAGGCCGTAGACGACGAAGATCCCGAGGATGAATGTTGGGTTTAAGTTGGATGACAGCATTTGCAGCCATTGGAGGGGCTCGAGCAGGATGGATTTGGTGTTGGAGAGATAATTGGTTGGTGGGGATGTTTGATCCGTGGGATCTTCTTCTTGTGGTTTTGGAGGAGGGTTTTTGTTGTTGATTAGGTGCTGGGTTTCTAGGGAGAGGGGTTCCATGGATGGCCCCATTGCTGGAAAGCTTTGACTGGATCAGAGAGATTGAAGGATTCAAGATGGGAAGAAGGAAGGAGAGTTGTGTTGTTGTTCTTCTTCTGACATTTTCTTTGTGTGAGGTCAGACTCTAGATGGTTTCTAACTTCTGAGAAATTGATTTGGGTTGAGAAATCACATTGGCAGTGATTAGTTGAAAATCTGATGAAGGTGACGCGACTAATTACGTCAAAAAAAAAAATATTTTTTTTAACACACTTGTTGTAAAAGCATTATACTAATCCAAAATGTTGTACATGCATCTTGTAAACAAGTTAGTTATTTTTAATCGTCCGGGTTATAGTACAAAATCTAGAATGACAAAAATTACAAAACTCGTGTTATACCACCCTTAATATGAACTATATCGATCTGATTTTGAAAGGATGGCATATTGTCGCTTTTGTAATTCTTTTTTATACGGTATCATTTCTTCTTTTAATATTTTTATAGGGATGACATATATTAATTTTTGTTTATCATTAGGCCATCATTTCTCCTTCTTAGTTCTTAGTACTTTACTACTCCTAACTCTTAACTTTGGCAAATTGCCATGTGAAGTGTTTTGGGTTCCACAAAATTGTATTGTATAATGTGATTAAGAAGTCCATTTTTAATTGAATAGACCATTGTTAATTGGGTAAATTGCAAGATTGGTCACTAAAAGTGCTAAAAAATTTACGTTTGGTAACTAAAAGTATTTTATTTCATTTATGGTCACTGAAAGTGGTTAAATGTTTCACGTTTGGTCACTCTCCGTAAGTCTCCGTTAACACTGTTAGTTTTTTTGCTGACATGGCTAACAAAAACGCCAATTCATCAAATTATAACCTGCCACGTCAGACTCTATCATAACCCAACCTAACTCAACCCCTAACGCAAGCTGAATCGACCATACCCCACCCACCTTCCCACCACCGTCGTCGCTTACCATCCCCATCTGCAACCACAGCACCGTCGCAGCCTTGACGATACTACTCTCCTCCTCCTTTGTGACCTCCACAACTCTCTTCAATCCCTCCTGTTGACTCCCCATAAACCTCGATTGCGGCTCTTCATCCAAATCTTCCCGCAAGCGATTGACGACCAAAGATAGCAAGAAGATCTAGATCTACAATTAAAACTTGGACGAGGTTTTCTGTTGTGAACCAGATCGATGTCGACTGTTCCGGCTGTGATAATCGAACAATATAGATCTGCTGCCCCAGTTTGAGATCTTCCTTGTCGCGGCTCTGCTCTCGCCTCTCGCTGCCCTCTAATCTTCTGACCACCTCTAATCAACCGAACATCTGTTGTCTCGGTTCGATTCCCAATCGTCATCTCACCTTCTCATCTCTAGCAATTCAAGGAGAGGTGAGGCAGAATCTTAATCATGTCTTCCTCTCCGATTGGAAAGTCAGCAATGAGTCGGCCAGAATAGAGAGGGAGGAGGCACGCAGTGAGAGAAAAGCAGCATCATCGGTGAGGAAGTTACAGTTGGAAGGAGGGAGATCGGGAGTCGGTGTCCTCCCTCAACTCTCACTTATCATCAGCGTTCTCCTCTGTATTGTCCTTCTTTCGATCAGAAACCCCAAAGAAGCAAAGTGGGAGAAAGGCGACACTTCATAGAGGGAGGAGAAATAAAGGTGAAGAAGAGAGGCTCGAATCGGTGGGGGTTAAATTGGGTTGGGTTGAGTTATTTACTGGGTCTGATTTGGCGGGTTATATGACCTGACGCGTCAAAATTTGGTGAATCAGCGTTTCTGTTAGCCACGTCACCAAAAAACTGACAGTGTTAATGGAGACTAACGGAGAGTGACCAAACATGAAACGTTTAACCACTTTAAGTGACCACGAATGGAATAAAACACTTTTAGTGATCAAACGTGAATTTTTTAGCACTTCGAGTGACCAACCTTGCAATTTACCCATTGTTAATTATTTGATCCAAACCGTTGGTAAAAGAGAGAATCACTTGTGATTAAGAAGTCCATTTTTAATTTAAAAAAAAAGCACTGTTTTTTTTTTACTTTCCCGCTTGTACCACTTCGTGAACTTGTGTTTTGATTGCAGGTAAAGAACTAGCAGAACACTAGAACACACCTGATTCCTCTGTTATCTTAGCAATCAACATAAGTACAAAAATCATAGAACTGTACAAAGGTCTGAGAGTACAGTACACAAATCACTATAACCAACAGCAAAAAGGCTTATAAATGTATGTACGTGATGTCTGTATGCAGACATGTACAAACAAATGTGCTACGACGTATACATGATCGATCCATTCATGTGATTTGAGGAGGCTGGATATTTACGCGGCGAGCAGTTTCTGGATATCCTTCTGCAGCAAACACAGAGCGGAAGGCGACATCAGAACCGAGATTAGTGGACAAAGAATTGATCTGACAGAGGAAGGTGTTCACTTCTATAGTTCTATATCTCATCAACACAAAATAAGAGCGAGGCAGGCAAGTTGATGTGGAGGTCTTTTCAGAAGCGGAGGAAACGGGGAAGATGACAGGAAAGGTACCTCGATTTGGAAAGGCGATGTTGTTGGTTGATAACGTTCAACGACCTTTCCGTTCTTGTTCACCAAGAACTTCTCGAAGTTCCATTTGATCAAATCGCCTAAGAAGCCCCCAGCACTCGACTTGAGAAACTTGTATACTGGGGCTGTGCTTGGTCCATTTACGTCAACCTGCAACACATGATCACCAACAACTGTTGAGATTCAAATCTCTGTCAAAATGGTCGCGAATGAATTTAAAGATGGGAATTCTGGTGGAAGTGCCTTATCGAATATCGGGAATTCAGCTTTGAATCGGGTACAAGCGAACTGTTTGATCTCGGGATTCGATCCTGGTTCTTGGCCTCCAAACTGGTTGCAAGGGAAGGCTAGGATTTCGAGCCCTACGTTCAAACACAAACCATGTTTTCTTCCCTTAAATACTACCATATAATTCTAATGATAACAACTTCTCCTACCAACTATAAACTAGCAATAGAATAACTTAAGGCAATGAATGCATAATAGAACAGTAGGCAACCATTGACTACTTCCACAAGATGAATAAACAACTCCTAGTTGATAATGGCAGCAAAGTAATGCGCATTTGGCTCTTGGGGTTTCCTTTTCTTTTTCTTCTCCATTTCTTCTTATTTGATTGTTTGAGAAAGTTGCTGTGAAGGGGGCTTACCTTGTGCCTTGTACTTCTCATAAATGTGCGACAATTCCGAATAGTTCGAAGATGTCAAACCACTGCAATCAAAGAAAGCTAAATAAGCATTAACCCTGTAAAGACAGATCTTTGGATATCAATTCTCATGAATAAGCATGGATTGGTGAGAGACAAGACAACCCTACCATCTGGAAGCAACATTGACAATTAGCAGAACTCTGCCCTTGAATTTGCTAAGAGACACATCTTTACCATCAATGTCCTGCAGAACACAAAAGGGAACTATTCATCTGTTCCTGCTAAATCTAATCCCTGAGGTTCTGGCTCTCACCATGTCACAAAACAACAGTCATTTCGCACCACAAGTATTGGAAGAAGAACAACACACTTAAAAGAAAGCATCTCCCTTTCAAACAGCAATAGCAGAAACTGGGTACATTCAAATTTTCAATTTCCCTAAATGATGCGCACAGAAACCTAATTCAACTAAGGGACCTTAAGTTTATCTTCACAGACGCATGCAAAGGGAGACGAAAAGGACAGCTTAAGTCTATTCAGAACTCACAAACTTCATAGGAGGACCAAAAGGATAAGGAATGTGGATGCTTGCAGCTTATCAGTTTCCCCTGTAAAAAACATACCTTCACAGTGAAGTCATGAATAGATTTCTCAGTGGCAGCTCTGGCGAAAACGCCAAAAGAACGAGTCTTTGGAACAACCCCGACTAGTTTCTGGGATTTCAAAGAGAACCCATGTTGCAGAAACCCTGATTTGGAGGAGGCGAGCGGGGATAACCTGATTGATGCAAGGGAAACGCTCAGCGACTGCAAGGTAGGAGAATAACACCTTGCCTTGTCTGCGATACTCTGCAATGGTGAATTTGAGAAAGCTGCGGCGAACGGCATCGAAGCTGAAGCCATGGCGGTGGTGTGTCGCAGCCTGGAGGAGAACCACAGCAGTAGCTCTGTTTTCCTATCTCGTTGTTTGTCCTATTTTTCGCTTCTGTTCGGCAGCAAATCTGTAAATGTGGAGACTTTCTTCCCTGGTTTATTGTCAATAACATGAATTAGTGTTCACTGTAACTCCTAATCCCACTGTGACCTCAACCTCCAAAACCAAAAGGACCATACACTAGCGGCTATCCACAAGTTCAAAATTCAGGTCCTGGGCTCCTGGCCCTCCTAATCCTATCAAGTGACAATATCATTTGTGTTCCCTTCTGCATATGTTACACTTACATATTAGTACCCAAACCAGTCATATCTTACAAAACAGTCCATCTTACTCACTTACCTAGTTACCTACAAAGAAATGGGCATCTTCGTTAATTTCGAGTTTCTAACGTCTGATTTCATTAATTTGGCAATTTGTCACCGTTTCCCACTCATTTACTTCACTCCTCGCAGTTGGCGGAACTTTGGCGCAACCTGCAGCTCCAAAAAGACGAAACCCTATCTGTCTGATTGCCTCTTCTTCCTCCTCGTTCACCATTGCTTGTCGCCGCCAGCACTCTCTTTAGCGACGACGACAGGGCAGTGACAAGCTTGAGACTTGGAAACGGATGGAGTAGGCTCTTCGCTCCTTCTCGCATCAATTCTTCCACCTCCGATGTGCAGCCTCTCCGCCATCGCACCGCTCTCTCCGCTTCTCTCAATGTGAAAACATAAAGAAATGCCCTCTTCTTGTATTCTTTCGTGCGCCTCGTAAGTTTTGACTGTGGTTGCGACTGGGGTTCGATAAAGACTTGAATTTTTACACAATTTTGGACGTGTTCTTGTTGGTGTATGAGTGAAAAGACTGCAACTTTTGTCTGAAATTAAAGGGGTATATGGCGGGTGAAGATTTATTTGCTTTTGTGCTGAACAAACTGTCCTAATTCTTGGTGGGTCACTGAAGTTTGTGCTTCCTGCTGTAAATATGGACAAACAGTAATGCGTGGGATTTAGGTGGGCTAGCGTGAGTTATAGCTCTGCTCATAAAGAACCCACATTACATTTTTGAATCCTCAAGAAAGTAAACAACTTGCTTACATTTGGTGACCAGTTATCGTAATGCTTCAGATGTTTATATTCTTACAGTCAGCTTGCTGGTCTGGAACAGGGCAGGGAACTACATTTTGGAGGGCATGAAGGAACTCGCTACACTAGAGACCAGTTGCTGGAGTTTAAACAGGTACCTTTGGATAGTCCTCCTAACTTCTATAGTCTATTTGCCAGCATTCGTTTGTGTCACGTGTGCATGGTTCCTTCCCCTTATTGTCTGATGCATTCAGCCCTCCAGACTTGTGAAACTGTAGTTCGCATATAATTTGATTGCTCTTATGCTCAGTTGGGAGGTAAGCAGCAACACCTGCTCATGAGAAGTCTTGGGAGGCAGTGCGACCAAGGAAAGAGTTCTTTAATGGATACTAGTCATGGATTTTAGAAAATGCTCAGAGTTAATATCAGTATCACCTGGGGGTAAATATTAACCGATCTTAAAATATGTTTCCTCTACAAAGAAAGAGAGTCCAAATTAACAATGAGAAAATCAATGGTTACCCATGGTGTTATCCTTCCTGTTTGTTTGTATGTATTATTTCTTGATTTGTCATAAATCCATGACTTTAAACTTGTGGGGTGAACCAATATGGATATATCTGTATCAACTTGTCATGGACTTTTAAACCAGTACTTACAATGGTTTATGATATAGCTAGGACCTCTGCGTTGCTCTTGTTAAAGATGAAGTGTCGTGGTTAGCTCGAGGATGGACTTTATCTAACAAGGACTGTGCCTTGAAAACGTGAAGGGGTAACTTATCTCAGATGACATAGTCCCGAGTTCATTGCAGAAAAAGAAAAAAACAATGATCATGTACACGGATTCTTGATAATTAAAAAGATATGGAAGCTGCATATGGTGACATCTTTCAACTAGTGTTATATACTTTACAGCATACTCAACAGGTTGACTCTGGAAAAGTTTGATGTTCTTAAGGGCCAAATGATTGACTCTGGAATTACAACACCTGAAAATTTGAAGACAAACTATTCCATGTTAAATGAGCTATCATGGATGCAATAATTTGTTTTTCTATATGTTTATTGAACTTCACTATCTGTATTTCAGGATGTTTCCTCATTGATCTTTGACAAGATGTGTTGGAGCCCAAATTTTGTCCCATGTATGCCCTTCTATGCGCTGACCTTAATGAGCCTGGCGGGAAAGAAATCATCTTTAAGCGGATTCATTTGAAAAATTGTGAGGAGGCATTTGAAGGCCATACAACCTAAGAGCAGAAATTAGGGTGACTGCTCCTGGGCTAGAAATGGATCACTAGACAAGGAAAGATTGACTCTTGGGAATATTCGCCTTATTGGACAACTTCTGAAGCAGAAGATGGTGCCAGAAAGTTTGCCATCGTATTGTTCAGGTACTCTTTGGGAACATATTGCTCGATCCAACCTTTCTTGCTGTAATTTCAGTCACTGAACTCATATTTCTATTGTACAGGGTTACTGGGGCAGGAATGTAAAACATGCCCAGCGGAGGAAAATGTCGAGGCAATATGCCAGTTTTTCAACACCATTGGTAAACAGCTGGATGAGATCCCAAAATCTCAGCTGGTTAATGATATATCCTTTAGCAGGTTTAAGGAGCTGGCCAACCTCTTGCTCGACAGATGTGGTTCATGGTCAGAGATGTTGTCGATTTGAGAACCAACAAATGAGTCCCTAGACGTGAAGTGGTCAGTTCAAATTACACCTCGCCTGTTTTCTTATGTAAAATGGAGTTGCACACCATGCTACGGATAATTGTTTGAAATCTTTAGGTAAATTTGGGATAATGGCATCTTTTGTTTTTTGCAGGAGAAAGCCAAAACCATAACTGATATCCACTCTGACGCAGAGAAGAACCTTGGATTGCGAGCTGGGACAACTGCATATATTAAGAATATTAGGACTGCACTTGCAGCAAAAGATGGTGCCAGAAAAGCCCATCATGAATCGAGCCGGTGGGGAAGCTTCTTGACACGCCAAAACACAACACAAAACTGCGATCAAGTGTAATCGCAGTCCGGGAATGCAGAAACAGGCAAGTTATATTATCAACCCGGGGGTCTAGATCTACTGCTTACTCCGTGATTGTCTATTATCTAGCAAACTAATTCGAGTGATTGTTGTTTAAAGCAAAAGCAGTAAGAAAGCAGTAAATTGTTCGGTTTTCAAAGTCAGGAAAGAGTCACTCGGGATTGAGTCCCCCTAGCCCCTTAATTAGGTCCAATTGTAATTATCCTGGGTTGATTCACTGTTGATTAGACTGCGGAAGTTCCGACAGTAGCTTGGAATCTCTTAAGCTGACCAAGCCCTCTCAGTCTAACTACCCGGCAGACGGCTAGTCTTCACCGGGATAGAAAGCTGACGCTATGAACACAGAACTCCACTACTGGAATTGAATTCCAGTACAAAGCAGTAAACTGGCTAACTCTCGTATAGCCAATCGCCTACTATCGAATGAAGAGGCTCTAACAACCTAATCAGATTCTATCTATCTCAGGTTGAAGCAGAAATTGAGAAAGGCTGATCAGACTCCAATCAATTCAATAAACATGCATCATTCGATTAAAATCAAACAGTATAATCATCCCAAGTCATTACAATCAAATCCCTAACACAAGGAACTAGGGTTCTTCATACCCAAATGAGAGAAGGGTTCTACTCCATAGAGAGAGAAGAGAAAACAGTAATCGGAGTAGTCATACTCATACTGATGAGAAAAATCTGCTCCGGGATGATGATTTCCACTCTTATGACGATCTCCAAGCTTGATTCGATGAAACCCAGCTCCAAGATAGCTTCTAGGATGTGTTCTTCGTACTTTCTCTCTCTAGGGCTCTGTTCTTGCTCTGAAAATCCGATTCTCCCACTTTTTGCTCGAAATTGGCTCAAAAACCAGAATTTCCCGACTCACACGGGCAGACCATATGGCCGTGTGGCTCACCACTTTGCCCGTGCGAGTCGAAACGCAGCGTATGGATTAGTTCGGTCTTCAGCCATCTCACACGGCCAGGGTTGCACGGCCGTGTGGATTTCATGGGTTGCCCGTGTGTGGCCTCGGCAAAAATCACACGGCCACTTTGCTCACTGGCACGGCCGTGTGAAAGCTACTTGTGCCCGTGTTTGCTCTCGGTGGAAATCACACGGCCACCTTGCTCACTTGCACGGCCGTGCGATGCCCCGGTCTGCCCGTGCGGCTTCCTTTAAACCTCGCCATTCGTCCGATCTTTGTCCAATCGACCCCAAACTCGCTCCCAAGTCTCCATTCACGTACTAGGACCTGAAATATCACAAACAAGCACAACCTAGCGTGAAATCGGCCTAAAACACGAGAATCAACACCTTAAACGGTATAAGAACGGGGGTAAAAACATGTGTAAATAACGGTCTATCAAACTCCCCCACACTTAACCGTTTGCTTGTCCCCAAGCAAACCAAGTCAGACACCAGGTAAGCTTACAAATCTCAGTCAACCAACATTGGGGACAAGTCATAAAGGCACAGAACACGTGAATCGTACTGGTTTTCAAACATTAATACATGAACAACATCAAAAGCAACCTGGACAACCACCACCAAGGACATTCGAGTGCAGCAAAATCGAGTAAAGGAAGAGTCTCCCTTCTGTTCACCAGCCAACCTAGACTTGACTTAACCACTTACTCAAAACAGTCAACTCATGCATCCAACTCAAGACATCAGAACAGAGACCAATCAATCTAGGTCCTCACCGGGGTACAAGAGTATATAGAATATGAAAATGAATCACTCACTCTCGACTAGTGGGGTCAGGACAATTTAATGCGAAAAATGCGCATGCTATTTCTCTCATCCCTAACATCTCTTCACCATGATGGCATCCTCTAAATGCTAGAGTTCACATATAGGATGTCATCACTAACTAATCAGGAGATCTTAGACACAGGTTCAAATGACTGGCTAGGGTCTTGGACATGGGGAAAAGACCTTTTAGGTGGTGGAAGTATTCATAGCAAAAGGTTTCACATTTCCAAACCAACACAATCACAGTCAAACAAACCGGTATTCCCTTTCTGCTATTCTGCAATACTCAACATCTCAAGAGCACAAGAGCGAAGGAGGCATAAACATCAGCATTTCCAAGCCAGACTGCTAAGAAACACTACTTAATGGGCATTATTCAGATTTTTGGTAGTGCTTTTGCTTCCAATTTTTCTTTGTTTTTCTTTCATTTTTCTTTTCATTTCTTAAGAGAGCCACCACTTCTGCACATATTTCAAACATCTGTCCAACTTTTACGCACTAACTCCAACACTCACATAAACTTTAGCAGAAACAGCAGAGAATATGTAAAAAAAAACACTCTGTGGAACCTTCTAAAAGATGCAAAAAGGTGATTTTCTCATTATAGACCAAAATAAAGGATAACACACGGCTCAAAGGGGCTGACTAGAGGATATGACACATCAGGACAGTCAATTTGGGCGTGGGCTAATCCTATGCCCCCATCATCTTAGCTAGTGACAACGTGAATGCTACACATCATGGAAGAGGGATCTAACGCACAAGAAAGAAACGAGCAGGCTCAAATCTCACATGGCTACCTATATGCTCTATCTCACATTCTGATACCTTGAACCAGATGCACAAACGACTGTCAAGAACAAGTAATCAATCAAAGTCACAGTTGGCAAGCAAACAGTTGGAAAACTGAACCCCTACATCGTTCTACTGCACATCTCAGTCCTCATCATAGGTTGTCCTAGTCACCATCAAACTGTCATGCATTAATCCGAAAACCATTCAATTCATCCATCAAAACACAGTGCCAATATGATCAAACAGCAGTACTTGGAGCCCTCAAATCGTAAGATTCGGACAGCGGACTAGGCTCCAAGCACCCAAATATATATTCCAATCGATACAAAGCACCCCCCACACTTAAGCACGACATTGCCCTCAATGGAGTAGAGGGAGAGATAAGGGGAACGATGTTACCGGATTGAAACACTGCTGGGCCTGGGGGACTGGAAGTGGACCAGTCAGCGAGAAACAAACGGGAGAATGGACAGTTCTGCACGAATCGAACACCAGAAACACACTAGCACTGTGCGTTAGAGATAAATGTTAGCCCAGACGGCTACATCATAAACAAACCACAAAAGAAAACCAAAAAACTAAAACAAACGACACTAAGTTCAAGTTTCTCACACATGGAGCAAACACACAAAAGTCTAAAACGAAAAGCAAAACACACTGAGACGGGCAACGAGTACAGCCTACTCGTCGCCAAGATCATCCAAGTCGATGTCGGCAATGAAGACGTCATCATCAGCCGCTCCATCAGTACCATCATCACCGTCAGCTGGGGCATGAGGAAGTGGAGAGTCATCCCAGGGAGTTCTCCAGACGGGCTGCTCGCCCAGGAGCAGCTGGAGCAGGTGCTGCTGGACATCCTGCATGCGCCGTGAACGGCGCTTCTCCCGCTCGATGTGGGCGAGAGTCACCCCCTGTTGTGTCTGGAGTATGTCCAGACGCTTATCATAAGCAGCCATCCTGCTCTGGTACGCGGCTTGGTGTTCCGCGTACTGCTGATGGAACTGCATCTGCTGGTCGAGGATCTGCTGGTTCTGGATCCGCAGCTGCTCGAACTGATAGGAGAAGTAATCCTGGCCCGGGAAAGCGGAGCTGCTACTCCCGTAATGGAAGTCAGTCTGTGGTGGGTCAGCAGCAGCGTCCACATCCTTTGGCTCCACATCATCAGCAGCCTCCTCCTCCTGGCCCTCTGGCTTGTCCTCTGGCTCGGGCTCCGCGGGGATCGGAGGTTCCGGAAACCCATCGATCCATAGAACATCGTGCCTCTCTCGCAGCAGCTGCATCTTACCGATCGTCTTCCTGCCAAAGATGAGGGTGTCCCCTGCTAGGTGCACCCCTGCAGTGAAAGCCCGAAGTAGGTGGCCAGGCGGGTGATGAGGGGGCCGCAGTGGAGGCTCTTCAGTTCTGTAGCAGTCTTCTCGAAGGTCCTGGTCACCACCGAACCCAGGTGTAGAGGATGGTTGTGCTGGCGGATCGAAGCGATGAAGTACATGACCCTCTTCGTGATGGCGCTGACACTATCTGCCGCGGGGGTGTAAGACTTCGCCAACAGGTGGTGGAGAAGGCGGTTGTCGAGCAGCAGGGTAGATGCATTCGTCCTCCCGGCCCGGAAGGGACGCGTCAGGCCTGGCTGAGCCAGGCGGGTGTATAGCCTCCCGAAGTCCACCTCCGGCGGATCATTGACCTCGGTGATGTAGTTCCTACGGTCGTCTACGTCGAGGTCGAGAGCCTCGGCCAGCTCGTGGTAGCTCATGGACCGGGGGCACCGCCTAGCCTGAATTGGACGACTGTACCGTCCTTCCAATCGGCCGTGTGGAATTTTTCCCCCGGCCGTGCAAGCTCTCGGCGAAAATCGCACGGTCAAAAGTTCATAATTGCACGGCCGTGTGGCTCGGCCTGGCCTGGCCGTGTGGCCGACACGGGCAAAAAATTTCCTCGCACGGACGTGTGGAATTTTACCCCTGCCTGTGCGAGCTTTCGGCAAAATCCGCACGGCCAAAAGTGCAAATTTGCACGGCCGTGTGGAATCCCTCAGCCAGGCCGTGTCGGCCAACACGGGCAAAAGTGCCCCTTGCACGGCCGTGTGGGCCTTCCCGTGCGGCCATGCACGGCCTATAAATTCGGCCAGCACGGCCGAGCAGGTCAGAAAATTCACTTTCCTCGCCGGAAAACCGCGACAAAAACCCCCATTTTCGATTTTTTCGGCCACTTTGGGTCATTTTTTCACCAAATCAACAACAAACCCACCCTTTCTACACCCAAAGCGGCCTATCCCTCCATTTTGAGCGAATTTGGACGACGTTTTTGTCGCCGGAGGCGATTTCTGGCGAGACTCCGGCGAGGCTCCGACGAGCACTTCCGACCACTTTTTCGGCGTTTCGTCGCTTCCATCGCCTTCCCCTCATCATCCCCTGCACCTCTACTTGAGTCTCCAGATTTGATTTTGCCCTTAACTATCTTAATTGTGGAGAATTGGGTGTGTTGGGTGCATGTTAGAGAACCATATTGAATCTTGTGATTTTTGCACAATTGATTGAGGGGATACATGGAATGTGTTTGAATTGTGTTGGGCAAAGTCCCCCTTGCTTGTTTGAGCCCTTGTGTGCAAGAATTTTGCCAATTTCATGCTTAACTTAATAGTGCACACAAGGTGTCGAGGAAATGCCTGTTTTTCATGCCATGTTGTGGCCACCGGTTGGGGCCCTTAATGATGTGGTTTGCGGGTGTATTTGCTATAGATGTGAACCTTAAGTTGCCTATTTTCTCGTGAATGTGCACCCCACTCAGATTATGCTTGATTTATCGAGTGTTTGACCCCCGAACTATGGATGAAACTATGGTTCGACTGTTTTTCTGTTCTTAAGTGTGGGGGTGTGATTGACATTTTCTTTGGCTCTTTTGGTTCCACTTTAGGTTATTCTTTTGCAGGACAATGT